ATTTCTGTGATACAAACATTTTACTCATGAATGAGCATAGTTTATCTATTGGTTGTGTGGGTTATCCAAAAAAATACGCTGAGCAGCTAAATAATCATTGTTGATATAATCGCTTAATTGACAGCACCTACGCATTTGAAGATTTCCCAACAATAAGAGTTGGTGTCACAGGTCAATATTTAAAATGTAGAATAGCTAACTAATATGTGCAGATAAGCGTTAATTTCAAAACGATTCAAGTGATCGACTTTTGTCTTAAAATTGTCAGAAACAACTACTGTTGAATTATGATTTTTCAAACAAGGCGAAAAGATTGGACTATCAAAAAGTATCTTTACGTTTACTTATATATACTTAAACTGCATTTGACATATTAACTTGAGATTGCAATAAGATAATTTATGCAGCGGTTTAAACTGAAGAAAATCTAAGTAATTGAGATTTTTGGTGGCCATCTTGAATGCCATCTTGGATTTCTTAGACCGCACCATGATTTGAGGCTATCACTCGGAACATTATTATAGTTTAGATATTCCATTTACATGTTCTGCAAATATTATAAGGGGACTTCTTTTTGTGCCTTTAGAAACCTCCTCAGGTACTAGACTATGCAAGTGTCAATGAAGCGTTCACCTTCATAACTACACGGTCGGTATACATCCAATTAGGAACACTATGAAATGGCAAGTTGTTATGGCATAAAAATAGAATTTTTGACTATTTATTGTCATTTGTCGAATGGCATTCAACTTCGTGACAATAGCTTACTAACATATATGAAGTGTTCATAATACAAACCACTGGTTCATTTAAGCCGAAGCGGGATAGATATGGCGAAAGATTGCGATATTGTGAAGCTTACTGTCGAGTTGCACTGTCGAATTGCACTAATTAAAAAATGGACACAATTACAAGAGCAAAAATAGCTTAAACATACTAGTATTCTTTATTTTTACTGGATTGCTATACGTCGTCAATTTATTTATTATCATCAGAAAAAGACATGTGCTTTTTCAAAGAGTGCATGACGCAGTAGATTTTGCAGAAGGTACATTCGCATAATGGGATTTCAATATCAAGATGTAAAATTTGATTTGCCTTAGATAAAATAGTCTAGTCCGTAATTCATGACAAGACTCAAAACTTGCAGTAAAGGTGTGCTGTACGCATTGCTAGCGGTCATAAAGTTAACAGACAGTCAACAGAAGGATGGGTTGTCCGAGCAGCGACGTTGAGATCACACAATTGCTAGAAGAAGTCATGGTCTTCTGAGATCAATGTATCTTATATTTACATGCAATATCTGCATGCAACGATAACGATGTTTTATCGGAATTAACAAAATATCGTGTGTACAAGCAATTATTGCGATATCACCATAATTATCTATCTATTTAGAATTAGAATTTTGCAAGCTCTGTGTGTTTGTTGCAAAAAAATAGCATCCGTCTACACTACAACAGACTTTAAACTGAATTTTGCCATTAATGGATGTGCATAAAACCTAAAAGGTAAAGATTTTTCTTAGCTTTCAGAAATTTAACTCATTCAAAGTAAATTATCGTTTTGTTATCATTTTCAGTTTTATGTATTTTATTCCTCTAAGCTTGACCTTTGAAGCATTTTTTTCGGCCGAAGGCTATCTGATTTCACCTTGACTTCCGCTAAAATTAATAGTAAAGAAATGGATATAGGCAGAATTTCCATTAGTCATTTTAACACTAATAGCCAGTTCGATTGATACTTTAGAAGAGCTTCTGTTATAGGTATAGGTCTGTTCGATTGTGCGATGGCAAGAAGTGTTGGAAAAAGATACAAGTCAGAATAAATATAAAAACACAAAAATGATATTTTCTAGATGTTTCTAACAGCTTTTCAATAAATATATGACATTAAATATGATAGATTGCCTTTTTGATACTTTTGCGTTCGACTGGGTTTCTCTTCTTAGCTGTTCTAGTCATTATATTCTCTTCTCGAACCGGGCATAAGACGATTGAAACGAACTTTCGATTGCAAAATTCTCCGTGGAATTAGTGTACAGTATCTACTAAATCTTTGTTTTATTATAAATTCCTATTCAAATCAAATTCCATTTTGATTAAAATCAAATATTGAAAGTCATATTGTTTAAATCTAAGATGACACTTAATAGGGAAAAACATTGCGGTAAAATGAACTGAAATAAAACTATTGAGGACGAATAAAATGTTCTGTTTGCGGTTAGCATGGTTAGTAGTAGCTTATCTTATGCAAGTTAACAAGTTTGACTTCTGCCATGTTTCTTTTTAAAGATACTTCTTGTTCAAACTGTTCATCATTTTACATTGTGAGTTTTGTCCTTATATGAAAAATCGCCTATTTTCATTTTGCATCCACTTAGCGAAAATAAAACATGGGTGACAATGCGGATTCACCTTAAGCACAATCTGATTAAAACCAGTTCTAAATGATGTTCCGCTATTAGATCTGACCGTGACTAAATACGAAATCATTTCTGGTGACATTTCACACAGCAAATCATCTCAGAGCTTTCATAATTTTGAAAGCAATGTGGTTTCTGATTTCAACCCTGGGAACACCATTACTGAGTAGGTAATTTTTACGATTTTAGTATACATTTTTAGCTCGACTATTCGCAGAATAATCGAGCTAATGCAGTCACCCATTTGTCGGCGTCGGCGTCCTTGTGGTTAAGTTTTTGCATGTAAGCTGGTATCTCCATAACTACTGAAGGGAATGGATTGAAACTTCACACACTTGTTCTCTTTGATTATCTAAGATAATTAGCACAAGTCCCATAACTCTGATTTGCTTTTTTACATAATTATGCCCCTTTTTCGACTTAGAAATTCTTGGTTAAGTTTTTTGCGTGTAAGCTGGTATCTCCATAACTACTGAAGAGAATGGATTGAAACTTCACACACTTGTTCTCTGTGATTATCTTAGATGATTGGCACAAGTCATATAACTCTGATTTGCTTTTTTACATAATTATGCCCCTTTTTCAACTTAGAAATTCTTGGTTAAGTTTTTGCGTGTAAGCTGGTATCTCCATAACTACTGAAGGGAATGAATTGAAACTTCACACACTTGTTCTCTGTGATTATCTTAGATGATTGGCACAAGTCATATAACTCTGATTTGCTTTTTTACATAATTATGCCCCTTTTTCAACTTAGAAATTCTTGGTTAAGTTTTTGCGTGTAAGCTGGTATCTCCATAACTACTGAAGGGAATGAATTGAAACTTCACACACTTGTTCTCTGTGATTATATAAGATGATTGGCACAAGTCCCATAACTCTGATTTGCTTTTTTGCATAATTATGCCCCTTTTTCGACTAAAAAATTTAGGTAAATTTTTGCTTGTAAGCTGGCATCTCCATAACTACTGAAGGGTTTGTACCTTTTCGGACAATTTTATGTATTCATATAGGTAAGCATTATTATACTCAATGAAACACCCTTGTTGCAACTTTTCGAATAGTCGAGCGTTACTGTCCTCCGGCAGTTCTTGTTTTTTTGCTTATCTGTGTCGGACAAAAAATGTGCGTCGGCCGGGAATCGAGCCGGATCGACTGCTTGGAAGGCAACCATGCTAACCTTTACACCACCGACGCCTACGCAAGCACGTGTTGATTGATTAAGTTTTCAATGCGGAAAGTAATCGCTTACATCTAATAAGAGAATTTCAAGTTGTTTTTTCCTTCTTTCTTTTTCTTTTCTTTTTTATTTATTTACAAAACTTGATGGCGTTGTAGTATGTTCTACAAGCTTGAGTCTTCGTGGCAGATATGTACGTGTATTTTATCTTCATAATTTTCTTGTTGGAATTTATTTTGAGTATTTTCAGTGTTGCGTAAATTTAGAAATAAAGATTTAGATTGAAAGTAGGTTTTATTTCATCATCTCTTTATAATTTTAGTAAGTATGTCATGTTTCTAACACAACAGCCATAGAAGCTTGCATAATCGAAATACATGGTTTACACAGTATTGTATAGACAGACTTTGAAGACATTGTGTTACAGTAGTTTCGCTAATCCACTCTCCTACAGGTTTCTAAATATTCAAATGTCCCGGGTTAAAATTCAAAATAAAAACTTACCACACTTTAACAGATTCATTTTTGAAAAAATAACTTTGCGTCGGCCGGGAATCGAACCCGGATCGACTGCTTGGAAGGCAACCATGCTAACCTTTACACCACCGACGCTCTTGTCGATGTATGGAAGGAAAATTGTTAAAAAATCAAAGTTGTCTCAAATTTTATACAATTAAGCACATATGATTTCTGGTAACCGCCTATTGTTTTCATATTTTTTATACCTGTTTTACAAAAATCACGGTACATTTCATTTATAAACTGGCTTTCAATAATTTTGATCGATATTATATCTATTTATGAAATGATTTAGATATTTAAACAGCATGTCAGATGGTTTCTATTTGAAAGACCCCGAGGGCACATAAAAATTTCAAAACCGTGATTTACACGATTGCACTATATAACACTTTCAATCTGACTAAAGTTCAGATCAACTTATTGCGTAGCGTTTTTAGGAGCTGATTTTAATCAGATTGTTACACTTTAGATACAAACGCACTCAATTGCCGCAGTAGAAAAATAGTAAACCCTGTCTTGCGAGCCTAAACAATTAAATTTGCACCATGTCTAATAAGTATGTTCCAATCCCTGTGCCTTTCTTGGGAGCTTTGATATTTTAAATTGTACAATGTACCTTTCTTACGATAACATGAAGTAGACTTGTTTGAACACTGTGATATTTTGTGCGCTTATTATACTCGCTATGCAATTGACACGTTTATAAAATTAAACAAAAATGCCCTAGTAGTGCATACGTGAAACGAATAAATTCGCACCCTCTAATTGATGCCAATTACCTTAAAAACCTAGCCAATAATGTGTATCTATTCAGCTAAAGATAATTGTGCGAAACACAAATGTTTTGTGTACAGAGAAAATAAGTGAAGTCACTTTGCATATTTTAGTAATTAGCCTCGTTTTTATTTTTAAATTTACAAAATATATTATTAGTTTTACAAACATGAGAACACTAAATATATATAAATATCTCTTTTTTAAGATAAAAACGTCCATTGAACACAATACAGTACAATAATGCAATACAATACAAAAATCAACACAATACAATACAAAAACAACACAATACATTAAAAAAAGAAACAATACAATACAACACAATAGAATACAATACAAAAGCAACACAATACAATACAAAAACAACAATAAAATACAGTACAATACAATACAGTTCAACACAGCACAATACAATGCAATACAAAAACGAATACGAATATTCGTATTCGCAATAAAAAACAAAAAGACTAATACGACTTACAATACAATGTGACAAAAATACAAGTGATATAATTCAAGATTTTATTCAGCATGAAACATGTTTATAGACAATACTAACAAACACGTTAAGATTTTATTCAGCATGAAACATATTTATAGACAATACTAACAAGCACGTTAAGATTTTATTCAACATGAAACATATTTATAGACAATATTAACAAACACGTTAAGATTTTATTCAACATGAAACATATTAATAGAAATACTAACAAATACGTTAAGATTTTATTCAACATGAAACATGTTAATAGATAATAGTAACAAATACGTTAAGATTTTATTCAACATGAAACATGTTAATAGACAATAGTAACAAATACGTTAAGATTTTATTCAACATGAAACATGTTTACAAACAATACTAACAAATACGTTAAGATTTTATTCAACATGAAACATGTTTACAAACAATACAAACAAACATGCTGAGATTTTATTCAACATGAAACATGTTTACAAACAATACAAGCAAACATGCTAAGATTTTATTCAACAAGAAACATGTTTACAGACAATACTAACAAACACGTTAAGAGTTTATTCAACATAAAACATGTTTAAAGACAATAGTAACAAACACGTTAAGATTTTATTCAACATAAAACATGTTTACAGACAATACTAACAAACACGTTAAGATTTTATTCAACATGAAGCATGTTTACAAACAATACTAACAAATACGTTAAGATTTTATTCAGCATGAAACATATTTATAGACAATACTAACAAACACGTTAAGATTTTATTCAACATGAAACATATTAATAGACAATACTAACAAATACGTTAAGATTTTATTCAACATGAAACATGTTTACAAACAATACTAACAAATACGTTAAGATTTTATTCAACATGAAACATGTTTACAAACAATACAAACAAACATGCTAAGATTTTATTCAACATGAAACATGTTAATAGACAATAGTAACAAATACGTTAAGATTTTATTCAACATGAAATTTGTTTACAAACAATACTTACAAATACGTTAAGATTTTATTCAACATGAAACATGTTTACAAACAATACAAACAAACATGCTACGTCTTTATTCAACATGAAACATGTTTACAAACAATACAAACAAACATGCTAAGATTTTATTCAACAAGAAACATGTTTACAGACAATACTAACAAACACGTTAAGAGTTTATTCAACATAAAACATGTTTAAAGACAAAAGTAACAAACACGTTAAGATTTTATTCAACATGAAACATGTTTACAGACAATACTAACAAACACGTTAAGAGTTTATTCAACATAAACAATGTTTACAGACAATACTAACAAATACGTTAAGAGTTTATTCTACATGAAACATGTTTACAGACAATAGTAACAAACACGTTAAGAGTTTATTCTACATGAAACGTGTTTACAGACAATAGTAACAAACACGTTAAAATCTTATTCAGCATGAAACCTTTTTATAGATAATACTAATAAATACGTTAAGATTTTATTCAACATCAAACACGTTAAAGGGACTCCACTGAGGTTTTTTGACATGATGGGACTCAAAATATTTTTCCAGATAAATATACAATTTAACCTAATCTATGTGCAAAATTTCAGATCATTCGCGCACTTGTTTTTACCAGAATAATTATTCAAATTGTAAAAAATGACCCAAAATGAAAAGCGTTTAAACGGGTTAAGAAAAGCCTAAAAATACTACTTTCAATTTATTTCAAAGTATATTTCTTAACTATCTTTGCATATATTTTTGTTTAAAGTACCCCAGCTCATTTTTGTAAGCAATTCAAATGTTATGTTTTTAGGCTTTTAAACCTCACTGGGGTCCTTTATTCAGAGTGAACCATTTTTAAAGACAATACTAACAGACACGTTAAGATTTTATTCAATACGAAACATGTTTACATAGAATACTAACAAACGCGTTAAAATTTTATTCAGCGTGAAACAGGTTTAAAGACAAAACTTACTGTATTTAGCGTGAACATGTTTACAGACACTACCAACAAACACGTTAAAGGGACTCCATTGAGGTTTAAAAGCATAAAAACATAACATTTGAATTTCTTACATAAATGAGCTGGGGCACTTTAAACTGAAATATATGCAAAGATAGTTAAGAAATATACTTTAAAATAAATTGAAAATCTTATTTTTATGCTTTTCTTAGCCCGATTTGAGGGAAAAGCGTTTAAACGCTTTTCATTTTGGGTCATTTTTTTGTGCAAAATTTGAATAATTATCCCGGAAAAATGAAGTGCACGAATGATCTGAAATTTTGCACAAAGATTAGCGGTCTTAACCTACATGAAAGGGCACATTTATCTGGAAAAATATGTTCAGTCCCATTATGCCAAAAATACCTCAGTGGAGTCCCTTTAAGATATACGGTATTGTATAGGCAGACTTGCAAGACATTGTGTATTACGGTGGTTTCACTTATCCACTGTGCTACTAGTTTTTTAATATTCAACTCTGCTGGGCAAATATTGCAAAGAAATGATGAAATAAAAATTCCTACACTTTAACAGATTATTATCTAAAAAATAATATTTTGCGTCGGCCGGGAATCGTACCCGGATCGACTGCTTGGAAGGCAACCATGCTAACCTTTACACCACCGACGCTCTTGACTGTAAAAGGAAAATCTTTAAAAATTAAAGTTGCATGAAACTATATACAATTTAGCATGTTTGCCTTCAATGTTTGCCTATCGTTTTCATATATGTTTTTCAAATGTCCGGGGTTTACCCTTTCTGAAAAAAAATCACGATACATTTCATTTAAAAACTCGCTTTCAATATTTTATCGATGAAATATCTATTTATGAAATGATTTAGATATTTAAACAAGGAATTTTCATATAAAGCTATTAATAGACACGAAAAACCATTTTTTTTTATCTCAGAATGTGAATGTTGTACATATATTTTAGGAATTGTCTGTAGTCATTTGAAAGTTATGCATGTATGCGAGTATGTATATTGAATTTACTTTAAACTATATTGCGGAAACGTAATGGAAAAAGTATATTAATGAGCCGTGTCATGACAAAACCAACATAATGCGTTTGCGACCAGCATGGATCCAGACCAGCCTGCGCATCCGCGCAGTCTGATCAGGATCCATGCTGTTAGCTATCAGTTTCTCTACTTGTAATAGAGTTGGTAAGCGAACAACATGGATACCGATCAGACTGCGCGGTAGCGCAGGCTGGTCTGGATCCATGCTGGTCGCAAACCCATTATGTTGGTTTTGTCGTGACGCGGCTCATTTTATAGTTGTGTTATAAAAGTATTGAATTATCTAACTTACGTCGAGTCACCGAAGGTTTTCAGTTGTTCGTTTTCATCTGAAGCTGAAGAAATAATTAGAACATTAAAACTAGTGTGTAGTAATTTCAGAACAGCAAACTTTTCTTCAAAAAAAAAAATGGTTGAAATTTGTTACCAACAAAAGTCAAAGTTGATAAAATTAAAATGGATACTAAAATCATGAAATTGAAAATATATAAATTTTGAGCACATATGTATTAGAGGGCGTATATCAAATTAGTGTAACATAAAATAATCAAGTCACTGAAAATTTACCTTGTGTATGTAATTGTATTGTGAGCATCTTAAATAGTAAACATTAATTGCATTAAAAATAGTTACCATTGACTGACTAATTTTCAACTACAATTGTTTGTCTATTCTAAACGTCCTTATAGAATTAAAATACCTTGAAATGACGACAACGCTTTTTCACTTTTAGTCTTCCTGGTGGTAATTGTAATGTAAATGATGTATACAATAGAACAAAGATTCGTTATTCCTAAAATAACACCAACAATTACTGCTGCATTGTTGTTTTCAGATTCTGTACATTGTTGTGTATCTGTAAATGACATAAAAGTATAAATAAATTCATACTTGATTAAAATCCGGAATTTTATGCACGTGGGATCATTCAAACGCTACACTTTGCATCACTTTCATTATTCTTTTTATCACTGTCATTGTTTTTATCATAACATTGTTTTTTTCACTAACATTGTTTTATCATTATCATTGTTTTTATCATACCATAATTTTTATCACTACCATTTTTATCACTAACATTGCTTTTATCACTATTATTTTTATCACTACCATTTTTTATATCACTATCATTTTTATCGCTTACATTGTTTTTATCAATATCATTGTTTTAACTATCATTTTTACCACTACCAGCGTTGTTATCAATTCCATTGTTTTATTACTATCATTTTTATAACTACCATTGTTTTTATCACTATCATTTTACCACTACCATTGTTTTTATCACTACCATTGTTTATATCACTACCATTGTTTTTATCACTATCATTTTATCACTACCATTGTTTTTATCACTACCATTGTTTTTATTTAAATCCGAAATTTTATGCCTGTGGGTTCATTCAAACGCCACCCTTTGCATCACTATTATTATTTTAAACACTATCATTGCTTTTATCACTATCATTGTTTTTATCTTTTTTTCTACCATTTTTATCACTACTATTTTTACCACTACCATTTTTATCACTACCATTGTTTTTATCACTACCACTGTTATCTACATATGAAAACAACAAAACCTACCTGATTGCTCATTGCTAGAAATAATGTGGTCTGAAACAGAAAGATTTTACGGGTTGACTTATGGATTCATTGTTCTATTGTAGTTTAAAAATTAAGGGTAATGCAGCTCAATAAACTTAATAAAATAAATAACCGATTGTGATGAAATATTGATTGAGAGTGTCGATCATAATTGTTTCATGGGTTTTAATGGATTGCAATGGCTGCATAATGCTGCTGAAAATACGATATCTGGGTTGTGTCACGAAACAGTATCATGACATTATATATTTAGACAATGTAAACTTACCATGCACTGCAAATTTTAAATTTCTTGCAACCGAGGTGGCGCTGTCAGTGACCAGACTTTTGTATGTCATCTCACATCTGTAAACACCATCGTCATCTCGTGCAGTCAGTTTTTCGGTTTCTATATCTACGCTCAGATAACTGTTCCCAGGTATATCCGCATCAAGAAAACCACTCACAAATAAATACTTGTCATTATCAATTTCTAAAGCAGGTTTTTCGCCTGTTTCAACTTCAGCTACTGTCACCCATGTCATATTAGATAAAGCATTAGCCTTATGTCGTATTTGTATATTGTATATCACCGCAATATCTGTTTCAGTAACATTGCAGAACATTCGAGTTACCGATATCTCGGACTTAAAAAGTTCTAAGCTTGTAACTGAAATATTAAAACATTTCGTTTTTTAACATGACTCTTTTGACCACAAAGTTATTTAGTCAAATAACAATGTATATGAGAGAACTTTGACAAGACTTCAAATGAGCCTTCATTGTTATCTTAATCTTGGTCTTCTTAAAGGGTGTTAAAATAAGATTTCTACAAAGAAAGGAAAGTTTAAACACTGCAAGACGTGTGTTTTAACTTCCATCAATGAGCATCGCATACTGGATATTTTATCGGTGCACGACATTTCGTCGAAAGACATCTCGTCGAATACGACAGTTTGTCTTTGTATTTATACAATATTTTTCTTATTTTTTTAATGTTAAATACGAAGTTAAGCACACTTCAAAAATACACTCCTATGGAATTCCCATGGCAAAATATTACTTTTCGCTTATCGCGTCAACCTTGTTTTGAAGTAAACAGAACTCAAACGTGGGAAGTACTACTTCCGTTGCTATGGAAGTATCGTTATGTAAAATAACTATTCGATAAGTCCGAAAGTGGCTTAGTATATTAAAAGTTGTTTATTGAAATTAGAGTTATAATACCCCATTACAAAATCTCGTGTATCCGTTTCAAACTAAATCCTGGATGTTTCTATTTATTTTTTATTATTGGCTTGTCAAGAAATGGAGTGCGTTAACAATTCGTCTTCAAGAACCAAAAGTGATTAATCTTCGCCACTTGTATATGGACAGTTTAGCCGGTACCACATTGTCGTTGTCAATGCTCTATCATGTTGGTAGTTTAATTTATTTTTTATATTTAGATATTGAAATACATCAAAGTTTGTGTTCCAAATTCAAAACAGGGCGACATTTTATAAAAATAATGAACTTACCGATGCTCAGAAGTGGCCATTACTCGATTACTCGTTTGTAATAATCTCGTGACCACCACCCCACCCCCACCCCTGTTGTTGCTTAATCAAAGCATGAACAACATGATAATCATTAGAAAGTAGAAATAACATTACCGTACATTAGTCCAGAAGCCATATACGCCGCAAAGAGTTTAAAAGAAATTGCCATTTTTCTATAGTTCAATTGACTTATATTCCCTGAAATATAAAAAAAAAAATAACCAATCACTATGTATTGTTCTATTATAAGTCGTCTGAATATCAAATTACTTATAGAGCAACCGTGCTATCCTTTCTATAAAAAAAAATATGGAAAACTGGTATGACTAATTATATGTATTAGTAATTGAGTGAAATCCTGTCTGATCACGTGAATTACATTATAACTGAATGAAGTGCATGCATGTGACAGTATTTTATTTATATACAATGTACATACATACTTAAACAGTCATTTATATTGTTTCTTTTTTACACAAAAAGGCACTTAAAGGGACTCCACTGAGGTTTTGGGACACGAAGGACCTGAAAATATTTTTTCGGGATTTATGTTCCAATTGATGTAGGCCTAAACCAAACTTTGTGTGCAAAATTTCAGACCATTGTTTAAATCGTTTTCCTGAATAATTATTCGTATTATAAAAACAACTCGAAATTGAGGAGCGTTTAAACGCTTTTCACTCAAATTGTGCTAAATAGGATTTTCACAAAAGTATGATTTTCATTTTTTTTTTCAGAGTATACTACCTAATTATTTTTTTCATATCTTTCCCTGCTGATCTATTCAAGATCTTCAGCTCTAATGTTTTTAGGCTTTTGATCCTTGGCCGGGTTCCTTTAATACGGCACATTCATTTATACCACCAACAAAAATCCCGAAAAATTCATGGAGTCCAATATCTTCAACCAAATGATTACGAAACATAATGATAACGGAATAATTATGTTCCGAACTCGCATACCCAGTCTTAAGTACCAAGTTCTCTCCACATTACGTGAATTACAGGGCGGAGGAATTAAGACTTTCAGCACAAATGAGCTAAAATATAATATATTGTATGCTAGCGTATTTAAACCAAAACAGTAAATAATCGTTTGCCCAGGGAAAAAACGATTGCTGATGTTGTAAGAACTCAAGTTCAAACCTTTTGAACTTCAAAAGGAATGAAGAGCTTGTGAGAACCACTTAGATTCTTTATTTTGCATTATGCATTTATCTATGTACAGTGGTTTATCTATGGGTTTATCTATGGGTTTATCTATGGGTTTATCTATCTGTTTATCTGTTAGTTTTATCTATCAGTTTATCAAAAAGATTAGAATATGCAATGATATAGCAATAAGTGCGTGATATAATGAGAGCAAAACTTGACTAATCAAGGCTCATCATTTACAATGTCGTTGAGTTTTTTGTTACACATGTATAATAACTGGCGTACTTTCATTCGTGTCTATGATAAATTTTATAAGTGGCTTCTGTATAACTTGCATTTAAACTATAACTATTAACTGTTGCAAGACATTTATCACCGATCTTACTAGTAACCTAAATCTGAACGAATTCCATCTTTACATACCGTTATATAGGGGCTGCTTCTCTGTGTGTGGTTGAGTTTTTTTTTCTTGAGGCGAAGCATCTTTAATGCCCCCTAGCATCGGTTAAAGAAGAAATCGCACCACCACTGATAAATTGATGATAAACAAACACAAGAAACTAAATTCTCTTTTCTTTTATTAGTTGAATAAAATGGGTAGACCAAACAAATTTTCATGAGCTACTACATGGGTAAGTTTCTCACTTAAAAGAACGCGCGTCCCTAGATCATTCTAATTTTCACCAGATGCATATAAATGATATATAAATATTAACCCTTATCAAGTTAAGTATCTTTAAAGTACTTGTCTATTTTTCAATCCACCATTTGAGAGAAGTTTTCAAAACATTTACTGACTGAAGAATGAAAAACGCTGGCCATTATCAGGCGGTATGATTTTGGTCGGTAGAAACTTATGCCGTCAGCAGGCTTGAATTGAGTACCGCTCAAGCCGGTGCTAGGGGGCGTGAGGGATGTTGCACCTATTCATAATCCCTCATGTACAGACTCAATCAAACCGAGTCTGCAATTCTTATGTAATTTTGTTGTGATTAATGCTTCCGAAGGATCACTTCGTTTCCGGATTTTTATATTAATGGTTGTTATACTAGCGTTTTCTCTTATTTAAAAAGAATATGTAGATAATAAAAATCTTACCTCAAACTAACTTGTTTACCAACATCACGTGAATGATGAATCGTTTTATCACAATGGGAAATGAATCAATATCATGCATCATTTATATTTTACTTCCTTGTAACAGATGTGTATCACAATGGCTTAAAAAAAATAACTAAAACAATGATAAACTTATTGTGTCATGCACTGTAAATACAGATACATATAAATAAAGACAACACTAAATGTTCTGTTTATAAAATAGATCTTGATGATTTTTAATTTCTGTGTGCATTATTGTAGAATGCACGGGTCGAGTTAAATGGCGTAAGAAGGCCGATAGGCATTTAAATAACTATTTCTATTCTAACATGCTGATAAAATTATAATTTATGTTGAATAATTTTTTTTTTTGACATCATTTGGTTTATAACCGCATATCTAAAGTTATATGACGTGTAAGCATTCCGTTTTTATGTTGACGTGCATATATAGTGTAATAATGCATTGTAATTGAGACTAGTTAGCCAAGTGGTGGTGGTGTTGGGATCGCGGCAGTGTGCCACATTGAATTTACCAGAACCCAGCTCAGCCACCGCATCGTTCACGGGCAGGCTGTCAAGCAGTTTAACTTCACTTTTGCAAGAAACTGATAACTTCTGTACATGTCAGAGCAGAGGTACATTGCGAATGACCGTAAAATGGATCTCATGATCAATCACAACGGAAGTGACCTCAGTCCTGCACCGCCCGGGAATCGAGCCCGGGTGGCCGATTCACAGTCCAGCGCTCTAACTATTGGGCTAACCAGCCAAGTGTTCTACTGGTAATTACCGTTGTACCATACATTAAAGTCCGTACGAATTTCGTCGGAAACTGATAAAAAAATGTTATTATATGTATTGATAGCAACTTTGATCACATTGCGAAAACTTGTAATGGCCGGCTATTTAAAAGTGGGTCCTCGAATTAACTCGAATCGAACCCAATCGCATCTTCTCGTTTCTTCTCGTCAAACTTCGAACATAATAGTGACGGAGTAACGGTATTTTGGTCTTGCCTACGTTAAGAAACTAAACATGTTTAATGCTAGGGATTGTTGAGTAATTTTATTCCCATTATCTTAGCTTACACTTACCCTTACCGTCCATACACATGCTGAATTAAACCGAGCTGCAACATTTTCATTTTGGCAGTTTTCGGCGTTCTTTACGGATTCCTATTTTTCTCCGTTTTTCGATCCATGGAATGTCAGACTCTCCACAGTGTTGTCTATTTTTTGTGTGCAACACAAATGTATTAATTACATATGCAACATAATCATGTTTGCTTAAACGTAAAAAAGGAACGTTAGTTATATAATAAAGACAATGAAATATCAGACTTGGTATCATTGACGAGGTAGTCACGAGGTAATCACCAGGTTATCACGAGGTAATCAAGAGGTTATCAAGAGGTAAAATGGATGTACACCATCTCCCTGGAAAATCGAACGGTTTGTAATATTTGTGTATTCTTATGCAGTGATGAAAGGGAAGTAATCCGTTTTTAAAGAGATGATGGTTATATCTTAATTTAAGTATATTATGGGATTTATTGAATATAAAGGTCTTGCGCACATTGCATGGTAAAGGGCAAGCATTCCCTTTCGTCGGTCGGTCGGTCGGTTGGTTGGTTTGCTTCTCTGGTTTAATGTATTTTTTTTCCACATTTTGGACATATCTTGGCGGTCTTCCACCAAACCGGCGTTCTTGGGTGATTAACCAGTAATAACCAATGTCTGTGTAATGTGTAAATATGCCTCGCTCGAGGATCGAACCACTTTACATTAGCGGGCGGACAAAACTATTTCCCAGTAACCAGATATGATGATGAGTTTTATATCCGGCATACATATAAAAGCAGTATTCATAGTTACTGTCTGTGTATGACTGGACAGGTATTACCACAATACAAGATTTAATTATTTTTCAAAATTTAATGCAAAGCACATCAATGACAATATGAAACATATACAAAGCTTGCCATCATATATTTGAAACAATACAGACATAAGTAAAAGTGACACATCATTAATGCAGGCGCGGATGCAGACGGAGGTATTGTAACATAACCCCCCCCCCCTTCCCCCTTGATGGGTCAAACCCCACCGAGACTGGATATTAATCTATGATTGTTGTTGTTGTTGCAAAAAACGTTTGAAAATCCTGCAAAAATTTGCAACATCTCGTTCAAAAGTCCTTGATCCACGCCTGTAAATGTAATCTACATTACTGATAACAAAAAAACAATTTTCAGAAATATTTATAATTTCGTACGCAAAATACAAAATTTCATTTTCTTTTTCTGTTAAGAAGAGGTTAATTTCATTTTTTCACATCGCCTGTTTTTCACCTCAGTCTTTCGCAAAACATTATTAAATTGTGCATCCAGTACATAACCATTTAAGGGCACATTATAAACAAATCCATGAACATCTTTTGCTTAACAAGCAATCTTCACTTTTTAGTTTGAAAAAAGATTATCTTTATTTACAACAAAATTACAACAATACTGTACGACATGCTCGTATTCTTTTATTTATTTATTTTTGACAACTACATTTTATTTAACAAAGGGGAATGTATATTGATCCATGTTTTTGTGTAATTCATTGTGATTCACGTTTACTGTAGACTTTATAACAGTTGACTTTGTAACAGATGTTATATTTGATTAAATTATAGAGTAATAAATGATATTTGATCTTTAACTTATCATTATTTCTTTTAATAAATTTCATATACATATACAAGCATGCACATATGCACGCACAAAAACGTACGTACGTGCGTGCGTGCGTGCGTGCGTGCGTGCGTATATACATACATACATACATACAAATATTTATTACAAATCATTGAAAAATATACTTAGATATTTGACTTAAACCTCTTTCAAAGGTTTATTCTATTGTCGTTAAAAACAGTTGCATGTATATGTATTTTAAATTCAGTGTATGTTGTTTATTTCGTTTTAATTTTTAATGATGAATAAAAAAAGAATCATTCTTATGCTTAATATGCATACGCAGATTTTCCTCTTTTTATTTTTGTTATTTATAATTTTATATATGATATGGGACTAAAACATTGTATGGGTAACGACAGTTAATGGAAATCTCAATCCTTGGCTTTAAATAATCTGTAAGATTCATATAAAAACAAGAACAGATAAAGTATCACTCTCTGTTTTCAGGATAAAAACGTTCGAAAACTCCAAAGACATACAAAAGAAAAAACGCTATGTCAAAGACAAAAATATAAGGTATGTCTAAAACAAAAAGATAAGAAAAAAATAATACACATAAATTACTTGACACGCTAAACATAATAAGATTGTAACTTTTGAAAAAGTTTCTTTATTATGGCAAAATACTTATTAACATCCAGATGTTTAGTAATAAGATGTAAAGTAAAATTAATCTACTTAATACACTTAATATGCATGATAACTTTGAGGCATAGTTTTTTTTCTCAATTGAAACAAAACGCCATTATTTTAATACATACTAAGACAAAGCATATCTATTAACTTGACATATTAAACAGAATTAAGATTTATACTTTTCTGAAGATGTTTCAACATTTTGATAAAAGAATTATGATAACACAGGATGTTTATCTTTTTGATACAATTTATAAGCATACCATGCATAAAAAAATCAGAAGTTTCTTTTCAACTTTTATGTAATTAAAATCGCCTAGACATACTAGACATATATGACATTTAACAATTCATTTACTGCAAACTCTGCATAGAAGCAAAAGCCTTACAAAACTAAACTATGTTATTCTTTTTTTTCCCCAACATAAAATACATTTAATTAGTTTTCATATTGGCGTGATAGAATACAAATATTAAAATGTTATTAAATGCGTCGAATATTTTTTTACAGTTCTTAGTTTTTAAGTCTTAAGATAAATGTGTAAACTACATTATTATTTTATTTTTCAACATAATATACATTTAATTAATTTTCATATTGGCGTGATAGAATACAACTATTAAAATGTTATTAAATGCGTCGAATATTTTTTTTTACAGTTCTTAGTTTTTAAGTCATAAGATAAATCTTGTCTGACACTAACTCAATGTGTTGATGTTTACATTAACCTGACACTCACTAAACATTGTGTTGTTGTTAAAATATCTGGTGGTTATCTTATTAAGAAAGAAAAAAAACAAACAAATGTTTGTGGGTTTTTTTTAGGGTTTTTTTTCTTCTTTTTTTTTTTGGAGGGGTGGGGGGTCACAAATATTTTACATATTTATACATATATGCAATGAGATGTTTGTTGTTGTTGTTTTTTGTTGTTGTTTTTTCACAAATATTAAACATAATTACATAATATACAATATGAGATAATTTAACAAATTCAATTTGAGATATTAGTATGTAATAGCATAACAACATACACATATGTACACACAAAACAAAGTGAAAAAAGCATGAAATTATATATAGAGGTTAATATTTCTTGCATCTCAGACAGGCTTATCTACCGTTTACACCGGTGTTAGAAAACTCTGTCTTACACCCCCCATGTAAGACAAGTCGCGTGCTTAAGATGACGTCATTGATGCGCGCCTTTTATGAATGAATCGCGTTCTTAAGACGACGTCATTTTTCCGTTATGAATGAAGTTGTATGTTCATACGCTACTATGAGAAAAAAGTGCGTAATGAGAATATTAGTTTTCATAATTTCTGTTCCGAAAATAATTGACATGTAATATGCAAGAAAAAGAATCAAACACCGGCTGTCGGTACAGACGAGAAAATCTTGCTCTCGGGTAACTGTTAAGCGGAAACTCGGCAGAGCCTCGTTACCGCTGTAAACAGTTACCCTCGAGCTAGATATTCCGGTCTGTACCGGCAGTCGGTGTAAGATTCTTATAATATTATCCGTGCCATGACAAAACCATCATAACGGGTTTGCGACCATCATGGATCCAGACCAGCCTGCGCATCCGGGCCGGCTGGTCTGGATCAATGCTGGTCGCAAACGCAGTATGTTGGTTTTGTCGTGACGTGGCTCATATATTTTAAAAGTTCGAGTATTTTGTCAAAATATTTTACTTTTGTCTTTTTGTATTTATAGTATAGATTAAAATTATTTCAAATGCTGTCTTTAACAGTTTTGTTATGTAAAATTCATTTGACCAATTATTACTACAAAAGTAAGCTTTATAAATACTAAATCCTACAATGTTGAGTATAACATTGATATAAAAGTATTCTTCTTGAGATATTTTATAACCGAAAATAAGGATTTCGAGTCTACGTATATTTCTTTGAATTCCGCACTCTTGAAAAATATATAAAATTGTCTCCCAAAATACATTCACTGCCAAGATGTTGATAATCTTCTATTTTATTACAGAGTTGGAGATGAGACCATTTTCCATTTATAGAGCGTGTCTTTGCTTATAAAGATCATATTAATAACTCTAAATTTGAATTGTTTATACGAATTGTTAATAACTCTTGTATTGAATTTATATACATGTTTTTTATATATCATTCCAGTTCAGTTATCTCTCATATTTATTTGCCCAATACAAATGTGTACCGAGTTTAATGAATACTTTGTTTACTAATATTTGATATATTGTTTTTGAATCCATCAAATCAAAAAGGCTATCTTTTATCTTAGGATGTGTTTCTGTTTTTATTTTTGTTTGCTCGTAATTATGGGAGCATGTACTTGTCAGGCATACATAATAATACTAACTTCTATCGTGTCATCACATTTATTTCTATAAACAAATGAGCATATCTGATAAATTTAGCTTTATCAGTCACCCTCAGTTTTATCAGGAACCTCATCACTAAAGTCATATTCAAATAAAATAAAGAGAATGAAATAGTTTAACCTCTTACTAGTTTGAAAATATTAAATTGATAAACTTTGAATCGAACAGTATTTAATCAAAGTATCCCTTTGTATTTGAGAAAAACATTCGGACTATTTCTTAATTTCTTATTGATATGACTTAGCATATTAATGCGCGTCGCATGAACTTAAGAGGTTCTTGACAGAATTTTCATTTGAAATCTAAAGAGAAAGAAACGCATTATAAAATTGAAAACACTATAAATGGAATAACAAACAAGTGCCAGATGTTTCAAAATTTATCAGGCTCGGCACGAAAAAAAATAAATAAATGGCTTGGCAGAGACTCGCTCTTCTTGTTCTAAGCCTTACCTGATAAGTTTTAAAATATCAGACACACACATGGAATTCTCTATAACTTAAACAAGGATTTATAAAATATAATAAGATACTAATAAAATATAAAATTATATTCATCATCAATATCTTGCGAAAGCTGACAATATGTCAATACATGTATGCACTACCAGTTTGGTTCTGTCATGCCTACAGTATATTTTATCACTGCATCCTATGAGCAGATATTTTTAGACGGACCAAGCCTTGATTTTATGCACACATCTTTTTCCAAGTAGAATTAAAATAAAATTAAGCTTACTGTCACAGTGATATGTGTACAAAGTTTTCAAAACCCCGTTATTTTCAATGTCTGAACCTCTTTCTGTTTGAATAACTCTTTTTCTTTGAAAAATAGAATAAACTCTTTTGAATCATTTAGTTTTGCACAATTCCGATTCTATAATCATAAAAAGTGTTTATTTCTGAAAAGCCATTCAACAAGCCATTGTTGTACTGGAGCAGTTACACCTAAAATCAAATTGCAAATTTTGAACGGTTATCTTTGAATATCTTTTGTAAAACCCATGACTGGTTATTCATAACTAAAGCAAATATAAGCTTATTTGCGCTGGAGAACTAGTAAAGAATATTTAATATTTAAATATTTCCTTATAAACGGAAGTAGCGTTTCGCGCGTATGCATAATGGGAAGGGCAAAAAAGCAGTTCTGAGATGATGAATTATATCAGTATTAGAAATTTAATCTGATTCTGAGAAATAACCAATTGTGTTTTTTTTATCAATAATCGATACAAAGGTGTTTATAAGTAATTCATAAGAATTTTCTGCGTTTAAGGTCTTTCGAATTTGAAAGACCCCGATACATCAGATTCCGACATACGACCCCCGTATATAAGTATTTTACTAGACCATCTATTACATTCAAGTGCCCTTGAAATGCGAAACTTGGATCATCCATCTTCCTATTGAAAAAAGACTGGTAAGAGGCGTACGAAGGTTGGCTACCGTCGTACCTAAAGCATAAAACTATTAATTCAATGGCCATAAGTGCGAATTCTATGGGCCATATTCTTATTATATATTCTCTCTGAAGAAAGTTGGCCTAAATTTGTGAATGGTCTTCATCATTGTTTCTACTGTACGTAGCAAAAATGTGTACAGTAAAAAAATGGCGCTCGCTTGGTGTGTTGCTCTACAATAGAAAATCAACAACGTCTGTCAAAAGCAGTTTCTTACGTGCAATTCAGCAGTACTGAGTTTAATGTCTGTGGGTATTGCATCCTCTACCATTTGTTTTGTGTATGTGCTTCTCCTGCATTTAAGATCAGCTGTATTGAATTCAAAGGACATGCAATTCTTATCTTCAGAACACATCGTAAAACATTCATCAATAGAAATTCCTTCTTGTATACCAAGGTCATTACGGTTCACTATAATTAAGCCTTTCATGACAGAGAAAGTGCTATCCATGGTGCTGCAAACTGAGAAAGGTTTAAAAAGATCAAAATACGTTTGTTTTTCGAGTAAGATATTGCATAAGTGAAACATTTTTAAAAAGCCAGATTTTCAGTATTAGTGTTATGGCTTTTTGAAAAAGTTTCATCAACATGTTTATACTGCCTGTTAGGGAATATAACGTGAGAGTCAATCAGAAATGCGGTTGATGTTCCTGATTGGGTGGATGACCAAAGACACATATTTTAAAACAGTGCTGTAAGGAATTAAGACGCACTAGTATTATGCTAGCCTTTGCCCGATTAGAAATTTTTGATCAAATGGCAAAAGGTGGAATTTCAAAAATATTTTAATGGAAACTTTAGCATTTTCTCAGGGAATGAAAAAAAAAAGAAATTATGAGAATTGCACACAGGTGACAGGCTATAAAGGCTATGCCACATAACACCAAATTACATTTAGGAAAAGTATTAATGCAAAAATGTAGCTAAACTAAAGGCCATGTTCTCAGTACCTATCCCCAATTTGAAAATATTTGTTTTTGTCTAGTCTGAGTTTTAATATAGTGTGGGTAGTTTTGTCCTCGGTCACGGTTATACCGGTACATGAAACAAAGTGAACTTTATTTGAAATAACACGCACTTTACTTTTTTATAATGTTGGCCTTATCTTAGATGTCGCACTGTAATTACCGTTGAGAAAAAAATAATAAAAGAAATCCACCTTTTGGATGCTAATGAAACGTAGCGTAATACTTGCGCGTCACTATTATTAACAACAATGTGTTTATGTGTCTGTGGTAATCTAAATAATCAGCACACCCTTACGTTATATGGTTTACAATAAGAAAAAACAAAAATTTGTCATTTGCATGTACCATAAAAATTAACGCGGATCTTATTGGGAATTTTAAATTCTCATTTCTTTTTATCATGCGATAAGACAGATTTTAAATTCTCATTTCTTTTTATCATGCGATAAGACAGATTTTAAATTCTCATTTCTTTTTATCATGCGATAAGACGGATTTTAAATTCTCATTTCTTTTTATCATGCGCTAAGACAGATTTTAAATTCTCATTTCTTTTTATCATGCGATAAGACAGATTTTAAATTCTCATTTCTTTTTATCATGCGATAAAATAGTTATAATATATCGGCCTAGGGCGGCATCTCGGGTTTTCCCTACAGAAAATGATCTCGGCCTTACGGCCTCGATCATTTTCTGTAGAGAAAAAACTTGATGTCGTTTTACTATGACTTATTAGAGTATAGTAGACGAGGAACAAAAGAAAAGTCGTCACATCATGCGATAAAAATAGCTTGCTGTAATGACGGCTTTATTATTATAACATAAATGCCAAATGACATCGCAAAAGTACTCGGAAATAATTGACAAAATGCTTTCTTTTTAAGAGAAAAAGATGAGGATCATTTTTATGCAAGAATAGCGCTGATGCACATTTGAGCCGCGCCATGACAAAACCAACATAATGGTTTGAGAATAGCATGGATCAAGACCAGCCTGCGCATCCGCGCAGTCTGATCAGGATCCATGCTGTTCGCTTACAAACGCTTACAAACTCTATTACAAGTAGAGAAACTGATAGCGAACAGCATGGATCCTGATCAGACTGCGCGGATGCAAAGGCTGGTCTGGATCCATGCTGGTCGCAAACCCATTATTTTAGTTTTGTCATGGGACGGCACAATTTTGTTTCGTGCATGAAACATTTGCAGGATTTAAATGCGCCCCTTGCTTCCGCAGTTAATGCACGAAGAAAGGAACATCAACTCTGATAATTATAATACCTTTGATACAATCCTTGGACTCGGTGTCTCTTCTAAAGAAATGGCTACAGTAACAGATTTCATCTTTGCAAACTGCACCAGTCTCCTTACAATCCGAGTTACTTGAACATGATTTGCCAATTGTTGAATCTATAAAGAGAAAAATATATTTTATAAAATGCGTGCGTGCGTGCGCATGTTTTGATTTCTTGGATTGTTTTTATTTCTTTTTGTTGTTTAGTTACCATAAACAGTAAACAGTTTTTATTGTCATCAAATATAAATTTGATTTATCAAACAATCATAATTGATAATTTATCATATTTCGCCAATAGTTTAAGTAAGCATCATCGCAAATCCGTTAACTTCATTATCGCCAATAAATAAGCTTAAATATCACGGATATATTCTGGTTAGTTAATTTATTGTCATTGCTCAAAAACAAGAATGTAAAAATTTAAAATGAATATTCCCTGGCTTGACAAACCTTGGCAAGTAGCTTTTGGAACCGTCCATTCACCATTTACATTGCACGTTATGTGCTTGTCACCGCTAAGAAACATACCATCTGGACACGCGTGTGATCGGACTGTTGTGCCAGCAACAACCATGACATGTTCCGCAACACTTTGCTCTGAATTTGGAGGACTTTTGCACGCTGTAAACATGTGAATATGTCATGTAACACTTTAGAATAGTAATTTATTAAGCAGAAGCCAGTTATTAAAAGATAATAAAAAATTATATGGTATACCAATGAAGATGATCGGAAAAGACAATTGCATAACTCTTTTCTTATTTCTTTATTATTTATGTATTTATTGGCAGAACTTCACATTTCTTCATATATTCATTCATTCGCTTACTCACTCAATCACTCACTGACTTATTCATTCATTCATTTATTCATTCATTCATCCATTCATTCACTTACTCATTAGTTCATCCATTCATTGGGTCGACTTCTCGGCTTACTCGTGGACCCTGCGCTGCTTTTCATGGACTCTCTTGCTCACCCACTGGTCGTTCGTTCGTTCATTCGTTCGTTCGTTCGTTCGTTCATTCGTTCGTTCGTTCGTTCATTCATTCATTTTCATTCATTCATTCATTCATTCATTCATTCATTCATTCATTCATTTGGTCGACTTCTCGGCTTACTCGTGGACCCTGCGCTGCTTTTCATGGAATGGCAGGAATGTGTCAAATTAAAGGCTCCATGATAACACCCGTATGAACACATATGTGGATGTTTATAAATTCAAAATTTCATCATTTCCGTGTCTAAATGTTGAATCCTGCTTAAGCCGATGCTAGAGGGCGTAGACTGAAATTTGCACTTACGGCAGTACCGTCAATGAACAGGCGCAATCAAACCGAGTCTGCAACATTTTCAATTTCGCCGTTTTGGGCATTCTTATTTCTTCTATGATACTCGCTTTATATGATCAAAGGTGGAAATAAAATTAAGTTATGTTTTGAACAAGGTTGCATCATAAAGATAATGTATTAGCTATTATTCCAGCATTTTAAGTTTGGAAAACTGAGTACAGATCAAGCCGTTACTGTATGCGACGTGAAGTAAATTGCGATTTCTCATAATCCCTCAATTACAGACTTAATCAGCAGTTTCATGTAATATTGTTGATTTTTAATGGCACCGAGGCACCACCCTTATTATTAGTTTATGTAAGAAAGATTTAAACATGTATTTCTTGACATACAGCAAGTAAAATATCTTGTTATATAGCGTAAAATAAAACGTGCATGTACATATAAATCTTAACAAAATGCTGTATGTAAGAGAAAAAGGCACGCTTACAATAACAAGAGCTGTTGGTAGGACAGCAACGCCTGACTATTCTGAGTGCTTGAAAGTAAAAAAGCCTTAATAATGAAAATTTTCTAAGTTAACAAAAGGGTAAATTTTTTCTTTAAATCCATGTTACAGTTATAGGCCTTGGAGAGAGTCCTATAATGCTCTTAAAGAAGAGTACAAAATTTCAACTTGTTTCAAAGCTAGATGTCAATAGAATATGAAAATATCTGAGGTGGTATGCAAACTTAAATGTAAATTCTAAGTTGAAAAAGGGGCATTATTCTTCCAAATGCTTCATAGAGTTACCTCCTCCTGTATACAGGTTGGAGTCATGATAGTGAACAAGTGTGCAAAGTGTCAAAGCCATATGTCAATGGACTTTGAAAGTATGATGTATTACAAAAACTTTAACGTAAATTCTAAGACGAAAAAGGGGCATAATTCTGTCAAAATGTTTGATACAGTTACTAGTACCTCCTCCTGTCTACAGGTTGGGTCATGGTGGTGATCAAGTGTGCAAAGCTCCAAAGCCATATGTCAATGGACTTTGAAAATATTTGAGGTATTACAAAAACTTTGACATAAGTAGTTACGCCTACTACGACACCAGCGCCGACGCTCGGGTGACTACACAGCTCTACTTATTCTTATCGAATAGTCGAGCTTAAGATAAAGTGAGCAAATTGATTTACACTCGTAAGTGTTAGTTTAACTTTAATATGTTGTTGCAAAGTTTCCTTTATGTCAAAGCCAAGATCAATTTACATGTATTAAAAAGTTTTCGGTGTATGTAATGTCATCAACTTACTGCGTGCCCGAGTGGTAAACGCGTCGGACTTAGACGCGTAGATTGCTGACCACGTTGGTTCAAACCCTGTCAGGGACAATCAGTTGTTTCCTTGAGCAAGAAACTTTACATTCATTGCTTAGTACTAGTTGGTTCCTGGAACTGATTCGAGGGTGTTTCAATAAGCTTATAGCTTCCAACACAATCGAACGAAAATACAAATGTATAAACTAAACTAACTGATATTGACGCATTTATACGAGTCTGGTCCAAGGGGGAGGCAACGCTGAATTTTGTTGCAGTCATGGTATGCACATCCACTAACCATCGCCTGAAAACATACAGAAATGGACACAACGAATACAAAATTCAATCAAAATTTTACATTTGTATTTATGATATTATCTAATGAATAAATGATAACGTTTTCATTGTGTTTCTTGTCTGCAACAGACTGTAAATTCTCTCATAAATTAATCAACGAGAAATGTTGATAGATAATGCATTATAGCATTGTACTAAATTGTGGTCTCGTCAAATGTCAGTGGAAGTTTTATATGAAAAATGTCGTGCAAAAGACAATAAAAAGTATTTTACTATGATGGTAGATTTGGAACACTTTTGTGCGTCGTGTGTCGCTAGTGACAACAAGACAAAGCGCTAAACAGAGTCCTGTCGTTCACAATGCACGTCGAACGGTGCATTGTCGCGCGGGCGGCGTGTTGTCGCATTGTGACATTGTCGCTCGGCTCAAATCGAAAGGATTGGCTATTTGTATATATATATAAGCCAAGCGATAGGACGACAACGCGCCGTCTGGCGTGCTTCGTTAGCGACAGGACGACAAGACGAAAAGGCAATACGATATAGGTTGTGTTGTCGCTATCGACAACGCAACACGCAAAGTGTACCAAATGAGCCATCGGCCGAAAATTGGAAAACAACACATACCTTTGGCCATTCGGAAATATCAGAGAAAATTATTCCTTTTGCATTACTGAGAACTTTCTCACTCCCCGCTGAGTTGAATTCACAAGATTTGGTACTTGTTATGAAATTGATAGAAGCACAAGCTCCCAATCGCATGCATTCTTTAGCACATTCGTGGTGAGAAATGACAATCCTGTCAAACAGCTTATAGCCTTGTAGTTGCTTGTTTAGATTTTTGGGCTGAAGAGACTGGCATGGTTGTAAACTATTAATTTTTGTGAAAAACAGAATGAAAGTCCATAGAAAAAGTAGTGTAATCAGTCCCATGATTGAAACGGTGCTATATCTGTTTTACTAATCTGAAATGATAATATTGCGGTACATATAGATCTCCCTAAATCTTTCTTAAACTTTTTGAGGAAAAGAGCAAAAACCATCTGGGCTAATAAATCAAATTCACGTGTCAGCATCAATTTTAGTTTAAACAAGTAGTAAATTTTAGCATAAAAACGTTAATCAATTTTAGTAAAGAAAACACATATAAATTGCTATTAAAACGTAATAATTTTTTTTATCAAACTGTGATAATTGTTTCAAGAATATTCTAATACTACGTAAAAATAATTTAAACATTACCTTGCTTTAAAAATGCATTTCTTCTATTTTCTTGCTGAATGGAAGCAGTCATATCCGTTTTTATATACGCAATTAATTTTCAAAATTGTATAATTTTAAATCACCTAAATATCTATGAAATTTATTTCTACACTTGCAAACTGTGATGCAAACAGTCCGATACAAACTCACTTTAAAATGCAAGGCAATTTCCATGGAGTAAAGTAATGATTATGTGATGAGCTGTGATTGGATTGTTTTATTGGGTATTGTTACGTCACGGAACAAATGAAAACATCGATCAACATGGGAGAAGGAAGCCTCAACAGCACCCAGCCACACAGGTTCATCGCTAAGGCACCTAGCACGTCAACAAACAAAACAGAAAGGTTAAAGTTCGGAGTAAGGACGGGGTGTGTCAATCGTAGCCAATGATTAGCAATTGAATTAAGTAAATAAAAGGAAATTGAATGAGAACATAAACAACTCCTATAATAACATTTTAATGACGACACCAATACAATTTAACAGAAAAAGCCTCGATAGATATTCAACTTCAAAGAGTCAGCCCACATAGCTCAATCGGTTAGAGCGCGAGACTTGTAATCTCGACATAGTGGGTTCCGATTTACAGGCTGGCCAACTTAAATTACTAATCAGTCTTTCGGATGAGATCCCGTGCATGAGTGCTTAAACACTTGGCACGTTAAAAAGTCAGGATATGAGCATCTTTGTGTATCTGTATATTGCACTATCCTCCAAAATAAAAAAATGACTAATACTCTTCTGGAGGACTCGCCCATATGGGCAACCGGTGGGGAGTATAGATAAACTCACGCGCACACGCGCGCGCGCGCGCGCGCACACACACACACACACACACACACACGCACACAAATTCAACTATCTAACCATGGCATGCACTAAAAAAGATATCAGAAATTATTCTATGGTAAGATACTTTAAGAAATACTTTTCGGACTCTCTTATTATGAATTATATTAAAATCACCGATGATTATGTTGCCAAAATCAGGGTTGTAAAATTTGTAACCATTGCAGTCTAAAGAAGTTGGAGTATTATTTTGCTGATATAGCACTATATTTCATAGGTAAATTTAATAAAATTGTGATATTCTTTTAAGATATATCTTGGAAAAAAAATGTTGATAAAGTTCTCAGTGATTGAGTATGAACATCTTTTATGTTTTTAAAATGAAAAATAATATTTTGTTCAAGAAAATTTTATTATTTGCTTTATATTATTATTTGTAATTTCAAATAATGTATACCACACTTGACAACAACATCCATATATAATCCCCTCGAGATTTCATTTATAATAATAATAATAAAATAATAATAATAATAATAATAATAATAATAATAATAATAAATAATAATAATAATAATAATAAAAACATTGATATTAAAGCAAAAAAAAAATCTCCAAAAACTCGACTTGTGCTCATTAATGATTTTAGTATAAATTGATAAATTTGTGTATTAGCGCATACGATTGATGAGACACCTTCAACGCTAAATTCGCTTACTAGGAAACGCCGCCACAACCACATTTCAAACACAATCATAACAACTTGACGTTTTCTGGAATTCTTAATCAAATCTACATGGCATATCATTCTTTGAATTTCGATATTTGGAGTAGACTTTTCAAAATACTTTAAAAAATGACAACCCTTTACTTTTGGTGACACCTAATTTAATTTAAGCGAAATGCGCTGGTCCGGAAGTAGCGAAAGAGCAATTTACCGAATACATCTGAAAGAATGATGTTTTAAGTTTATCTGCTTGTTATAAAGGTAAAAAACTGGGTATCAAATGTTAAAGAAATGCTCGATATATATGGTTTATCCGAATATATTTTTGAAAATAATATCGTAGATAGTAAATTATTTCCAAAAATATTTAAACAAAGAGTTATTGATAATTATATACAAATATAGCATTCATCTGTAGAAAATAATTTTGTTTTAGAACTTTATAAGAATTGTAAAGAATTATATTCATACGAAAACTATCTTCACATAAATTACGTAAGGATCTTAGATTTTACATCACAAGAATTAGAATGTCTGCACATACACTAAGATTACAAATGGGTAGATATGGTCAAAATAGAATTCCTGAGGAGTGAAAGATATTGTTTATGTTGTAATACAATGGATTTAGAAGACGAATACCATTTTGTTTTGATATGCCCATGCTATGTTGACATAAGGAAAAAAAATATGTGAAACGATTTTATTACAAAAGACCATCAATGTTTAAATTTATTGAACTGATTTCTTCTAATAATAAAATTATACTTACTAATCTAGCTAAATATTTGAGAGAATCGATTAAAATCAGGAACACTATTGTTAGTACTAACAACTGAATTTTGATATTTTGTTACAAATTTATACAAAAAATTCAATTGATTTGTTGTATCAAATATGTTTATACTCTGCTTAACAAATTGTTTTATAAGTGATAATAATATTCTCTTAATCCATTACTGTTCATTCTCCAGCTTTACATGAAATTCAATACTATATATTTAATCCTATATTATTTGTTAAATAGAAACGTGACATCTTTACAATTTGTGTATTTATATTGTAGTGATGATGTACTATGTACAAATCCAAAATAAAATTATGTTCTGTTCTATCGTTTACCAGGCGTGTTGTTGAAGTTCCTATGATGCTAGATTTATTTCGCTGTTGCATTTTCGGGATGATATTTTCTCTAATATTTAACCATTTTCTAGCCAACAGTTTTGTTTATTGATCATCTTTTCTTTCCTCTTGTGCGGGGATGTTTATGTTGACATTATGGAATATATGGGCAAAGTGCTTAATTACCACTTTTATCTTTCATAAGCGCTATTCAATTCATGTTATCGTATGTTTCTAGAATTATAATGAATTACAGAAATGTCTACTCTCTATTTTGCATTAAAAATGTGTTCATTTTACAGCAGTCTCTTTCGTTCAAATAAACTTCTTCGTGGGCGTATTCTGATTTTATCGTCTAGTGATACTATAATGTTAATAATTAAGTGTTTCATAATGACCTTGTTATTAAGCTTTAGCCTGTCTTGTTAGCCTACGATCTTAAACACTTAATTATTGACAATTTTATTAATTAACTACAAATTATCTAAAAAAATAAGTACTTTTATAGAGAACAAAATATACTTATTGTGAAATTCTGTTGTTGTTGTTGTTGTTGTTGTTGTTGTTGTTGTGAAGTATTGCCAATGAGATTCTTGTTTTAAAAATGTTTCGGAAACCTACCTTGCAGCAATTCAATTTCAATAAAAAAGCAGATTCATAATGGCCGAGCTGGAGAGCCAATGTCATACTAGCAGAGTTTTCTCATAAAGGCTGTACTTTTTGCAAAATGGCCTCGTCATGTGTTCATAATGTGGTGGGGAACTTCATATTAGCCTTACATTTGAAGGGAAAACGTGCCTAGCTAATATTGAAAAAGTAGTTATAATCACGACTAGCATTCCCAAAGTGGCAGAGGCTTGTAAAAATGCAGTGATATCAGAGACTGGTGTTATATATGAAATATTTAATATAGCTCTTTGGAGATATATTAAATCAAGTTTGATATTATTTATTCATTATTTCTGTGAAAGTGTGTATGCATACATAAAATATTTATACAAAATTCAGCCATGCACTGAGAAACAAAGTATTATTAATATGATTTTGAATTAGTTAAAGTAGGAGTATCAAAGTTTCATAATTCTGCTCTTTGATATTATTGAATTTTTAATACAGTCGGGTATTAAATGCTGCATAAATCTTTATAAATACGAAACGAATAGTTGATGTTATACAACAAAGAGAATTTAAGAGATCAGCGTGAATTGCGATTTTAGTTTACAGTTTGCAAACAATTAAATCATTACTTTGTGATTTGTACGGAGTTGATCATTATGTAAAATGCTTAGACTGCATGTGTGTTTGTTTGCTTTGTTTTTGTACATCCCTTTTTAGTTTGCTATAATGCTTTGATTATATGCTGTATGTCATTTTTCCTTTAAACCCTGTATTTGTATGCTAGTTGTATCTTTGCTTTTTTATTTGTATGTTTTGTTTTAATTAAAACTCCTTATTTTCCCTTCCATTAGGCTGTGCATGCAACTTAATTCTAGTTAACTTTGTTTGTTACCATGTATGTGCTTTATTTTTTATTATTTTTCATGCTGTTTTAGTTCTATAATAAATTTTTATGTACTTCTTTTTAAGTAAGTCAATATATTTTTTTTTAGTAAATCTTTAATTATGTATGAATTCTAGATGTTGACTATTACTATTTTAATTAATTTATACTTTTATTAAAATTATTTTTAATTTTTTCACATTGCTACATGTATCATACTTAAATGTTCATCTCATTCTATACTACAGTCATTGATTACTTTTTAAACTGTTATTTACCTTTAATATAATATGTACTGTGCATGTTATCATACTTTGCTTTAATTTATTAATCTTATTGTATAGTTCTTAATCTTGCTACTTTTATTTCATGCCTAAAGTTGCTACTAGTTTTAAATGATTTTACTTTCAGATCTGTTATATGTTAGTAAATATGTTTTATGTTTCTGTCATTGTCGGTAAATAGCTTATAAGCTAATGTTTCTTGTCATTTGTAAACCGACTTAAAATCAAGTTTCTTGTATCTTTCATCTTGTAAAAGTATAGACAAAGAGGAAATGCGTTCCTTATATTGCTTTAAAAAGGTAATTTTTAATTAAAAGTTGTTATAAAAGTTGTAAATTCAAAAATCATTGACCTGTCACACAGAGCTATATTTAAATGGAGAGGAAAAAAGGCTTTGCCTGTTATGATTAAGAGGAGGTATCCTCGATAAACATCCCGACCAATTAAATATATTTAATTTAATTCAAATTGTTGTTCTTTTTATAATAAACTTTGAATTTTAAACTACGTATCATCGTACCATATGGGAGCCATATCCCATCAATTATTTTTGTCACAATATACATGATATACGTACTTTGAGACGATTTTTGACTGGAATAATGGCACACACGTAAACACATGTACAGATAAAACTGAAGAAATAGAGATATTTAGTTCCCTATTAAAATAGTCAGTTTTAAATGAAGTATATGCTCGTCCATGTGGTTCATTCCTTTCACGAGGGTAAACAAACCATTCAAAGTATACACAAATGGGATACTTAATTAATTGTAAGCAAAATAAAAATTTGCACGTACAAGCGAAGTTATGAATTGCACATAAAAAATTAAGGTAATTCTGTCAAATGTTTTAATATCAGTGCAAAAAGAAAATATGTTTTACATATGAGATTTTTTCAATCCATTCCCACTGTCTTACTCTACTTATTTTATACTTATAATTGCATGGCTAAATGTTAATAATAATCTGTTCAATTGATATGAAAATGCTTAAAAATATGACATGTTTAGGATGACATTGATATCAAAAGATAAATGAAACAGCAATATCAAATTTGAAATTAAGCACGGTCCGCCTCGTATCGAGTCACGGTCCACCCTGTCCCAAAATATGTTCCGCCTTGTCCAAACATAAGGTCCGCCCTGGTACGGTCCGCCCTGTCTCACGGTCCGCCTTGTCCTACGACCCAACTGAGACGTAGAAATAGTATCGTGCCGATATATAAACTCAAGTTATTTTAACCAATAGACAGACAAGAATCATTTACTTCGGAACTTATTTGTTGTCACTACAGGTGCATTTTTCTTTTTTATGAATTTACCTTTTTAAACTCTGTCGGTTTGTAAATGTTAAAGGTAATGATTTATGCGCCGCGGTTTTATTCTTTTTATTTATAGTGTTCTGAACTAAGGCAAGTTTGGTCATTTACAGAAACTGAAACATGTTCGATTATCACTGATTATGTCCACATCTCACATGTCTCATCTGTTGATCCTGCTTCTGTCCCAGGTTGATCATCAACACATAAAAATCACTAAAGTCAAAACAAGGAGACTCATTCCGTATTTGTAATATATTCCTGTATAGAAATAACATTGGGGTCATTGTTAATCTGAAAAATCCTCGAGGACAGCCAGGTCGATAATATGACACTACACTTCTCTCCACTTTTTTTGACAGGCAAACTTATTCAGTGCAGCATGTTTATAAAACTATACACAGGTTGAACTGTTAAATCCTAATGACTGCTCATAAGCAAATACTGCATGCCAATGCTGAATGCAATAAAACAGAAATATTAACCTGCCACTTAACTGCATCAGTAAATAAAGCAACTGGAGCCTTGTCACTGCTTCAGAAAGAATTACGGACATTTCGGACCACGGACGTTTCGGACCAGACATTTCGGACCAGATTTTTGGGTCATTTCGGACCAGATTTTGGGACATATCGGACCATGCGATGGTCATTTCGGACCATGATGGGGACACTTCGGACCAGAACATATATTCCTTTTTATATAAAATTATTTGTTATTTCAGGATGTATTTACAATATTTGACATTTTTTATATTTTATGATATTCAAAATGCATGCAGTAAAGACCTGTCCGACGCGATTTTAACATTTTCTGATAAGCTTATATTACCATTGTTTTGTCTATCCATGCAAATACTTCTATCGTAATTCATTTATGTATTTCTATACGCTGACATTTTTTTAATATTGAAAAAAAATTAAAACAATAATAAAATACCTTTAGATCTATATTGGTAAGCGTAGGATATACGCTGAATATACATATTTAAAGTCAACTTTATCCAAATTAAATCGTGATCTAGAAGGTATTAAAGAACAACGACATCCTTGTCAATGCAGTTTTTCACACGTTTTAATTGCTGAATAGAACTCGTTAAAGTTACGATTCACTCAATTAAAGAAGTATGTATGTAATTTTCACCTTATTTTACAACAAATATTTAAATTGATTGGATTAGATTGGAATGCGATTAAAGTACAGTTTTAATTAACAATTAACAACAAACAAATTGATTAATTGTAAACAAATTTGAAGTCCAGACTGCATTATAAAAAGATGTAAAAATTGATTTCATCCTCATAACTTATACAGCTTACAAACTGAAATAGTTATATACATATCACTATGTCTACTGATCGTTGTGTACACTGTGAGATTGCCATGGATGTTGATCAGGTATGTGTGCATCTATTAATTTTAATGGTAAATAAAATGGCTATATATATAAGCAAATTTTATTTAAAAAGTTTTTTTTTTTGTTAAAAACAATTGCTACTGAACAAAAAGAATTTGCACGAAAAAATGTTAAATACCCACACAGCCAAACCGATGATGCGTATGTTTATTTATTCAATATGTATTGCAAAGTATATGGTTTTAAATTGCACAAGTAAATAGACAAAGACATTTTTGCCAATTGACTTAAGTCAATAAATTATCCATCTTACAAAATACTATTACAGAATTGATAGTCATGTACATGTAAATTAATTGTTGTTTTCTTTTATAGGACGAAACGATAAACTACAGTGATGAGCGAACGAACAGGACCAGGAGTGTTATACGTATGCCGCAACATGAGAGTACAAGGGTTTCTCTCTTAGCTGAGGAGCTTTCACCAGCCAGATGTGAATATGATATGGAGACAGTCGTTGATACGACCGCTTTTGATGTAACACGGCCGAATCGTGAGATGTCCGACGACAATAATGGATTGTAAGTGAAGTATACAATTTACAATAATTTTGAAATGTATTGAAATAAATAGTGAATTGTCCATTTTGTATTATGGTTGCATATTAATGATCCTGTTTCCATTTCAGAACAATTGTGGACGAAACAGTACAAGATGTACCAGAAGATGCACCTGTCACTTACCAAATAGTCGTTGGGGGTTCTACACGCGGCAACATGAAACTGGTTTCATCTGATGGATACACATTCGTGAAGAAGCGGACTCTTGTGAACGGAACAGTTGACTGGCGATGCAGCGTACGCGGTAGGAAAAGTGGGTGCCCAGCAGTTGTTAAACAGACAGGTTCGGACTATCGTGTCGCGGGAAGTGCTCATACACATGAATCAAAACCAGGAATATTGACAGCCGTTAAAGTTAAAACGGAAGTAAGTACATTACTATATGTATCCAGAATTCAGAGAATTATTATTATATGTTTTTATTATAATAAACATCAATCAAAGATGACATATACCAACAAGATCACGTTGGATAAAAAATATTGGACGTAAATATTCTAATTATATTTAATGATTTGATTATAAAATTGAAATAGGTAGCAAAAATAAGCTTAAATAGTGACAGTTTTAATATTAACCATTTTTTACAAACCTATTATTTGTTTAGCTATTTATATACATGTATGATATTTATCTTTTATAGGTGAAGGCTGTTGCCAAACAACAGCTATTCGAATCGGCCAATGTTCTGGTTAGGGAAGTAACCAACAAACTTCAAGATGCAGAAGAGCCAGAATCGTCCAGACCCAGTCATGATGCTCTTCTCAAGATGTGTAACCGGACCAGACAGGGATTACGTCCAAAGGAACCAGAGGAAGGAATTGATTTCCAGGCAAGTTATATCCATTCACACATACGCAAATTTCATAAAATAATAAAATATTTATTATAAATAAATGATAGTGAGATATCCAATGTTTACACTAGAATCAGACAGTTTCCGTTATATTTATTCACATGTAGTAATATTTTGCATTTCTTTCTAGGTTGATGAAAATTTCCTTGAAAGCCTTGGTGAGGATTTCTACAGAACAACGGTTCACGCAAAAGATCGCCGCCACATCATATTCGCTACGAATAAACAACTTGATCTACTGAAAGAAGCGAAGACTTGGTATATTGACGGTACTTTCAAAGTTGTAAGGAAACCATTCACTCAACTACTTTCTGTCCACGCATTCGTCAAGTCCGACGACGCAATGAAGCAGCTACCTTTGTGCTTTGTTCTGATGATGGGCAAGAAGAAACGGGACTACAAGAAGGTTAGTTATCATATTTTCTCCATAAACCATTTGTAAAAAAAGAACACATTAATAATATTTATAAAAACGACAACATTAGTAATAAAAAAATATGATAACGTGAGATACGCATAGCATTTTTAGATATGTTTGTTATAAGCAATAACGCATATAGGATATTTTGTAAAAGAATTATAGCGAAAATTTGTAGTAAATTATTGTAAATATATTATTGTGTAATCTTTTTTTCCAGGTGTTTGAAGCAATTGTGCGCCTTTTACCATCGACGGAGGTGAAGACATTCGTGACCGATTTTGAAGCCGGTATATGGCAAGGGCTAAGGGACGTTTTCAATGAGCCAGAGATCAAAGGGTGTGCCTTCCATTTTGGCCAGGCACTATGGAGGAAAGCCCAAGAGTATGGACTTCAAGTAAGTGAAATAAATTCATTTTGAAAAGAATAATTACTGAATAATAATAATAATTAAAAATAATAATAATAATAATAATAATAAAATCTTTTGGTATATAAAAAAAATATTTACAAGAATAATTGCATGTAGTGGTAAAGGAAAAAAGGTTATATTAAAGTTCATAATTTCATTATATACATATTTTTTCCAGACAGCTTACAACGACTCAGACGCTATACATCAACTTATGAGGAAACTGTTCGTCCTACCACTGTTGCCAGCAGAAGACATACAAAGAGCCTTTGAAAAGCTGAAGATGAAGACAAACGGGACCAACGACAGCCGCCTTGACCAGTTCTTCAATTATGTCGAAAATACTTGGGTGAAGAGTGAGATGTGGCCAGTTTCATCGTGGTCAGTCTTTGGTAGGTCCATCAGAACCAACAATGATGTGGAGGGCTGGCACGCACGCCTCAACCGACGCGCCAAGAAGGGAAATTTGGCATTCTATTTGTTAGTGGAACTGTTATTCAGGGAAGCCAGAGAGATCCCTATTCTATGTAAACTTGTGAGAGAGGGAAAATTGTGCCGATATCAACGACGTGCTGCCCGTCAGACGCAGGGGAAATTGATGAAACTTTGGACAGAGTATTCTGCCAATGACAGATCTGCCAGTAGTTTGTTGAAGTCATGTGCCAAACTATACGGACCCGTGTAACCATAAACTGTACGTCATCGTTTGGGAATTGTTGATAGTCGTATGTTGTTCTACTGTATTTGAATTGTAAATGTAAATTATTTATATCTTATGTGTCATTCAAATGTTTTGTACCTGTGTTTTGTAAAGGTCAATAAAGGTCAATATTTATCTAAATGTATGCATTCATGTATTTATTTGTTTGTAAGATAATGTATGATTTGTTTTATTAGAATAGTTTGCCAATAATATTCTTCTTCATGTCTTTTTGTATATACTTCATGTTTTCAAGCAGTGGTTATGTTGTGGTCGTATGTTGTTAAACTGTGTTTGTATCATAAATGTATGTGATTATATTAATGTGAATTATCTATAAATATCTTATTTGACATTCAAATATTTTGTACATGTGTTTTGTGATCAATAATTATCTAAGTGTATACATTCAACGGTATGTATGTGTTTGTCAATAATGTATTTGTTTTATAAGAATATGTTGTAAATAATCTATTTCGCCATGTCTTTCTTGTAAATATTTTAAAATAAATTGTTTGCAAACGTGTGTCATTAAAACATTGCTTGTTTGTTTTTTAATTTTCTTCATTTATAGTTCAAAATATATAAATCTAAATCGGGATAGGTGTAAAATCGTCCCATTGTGTCAATATATATAAAAAGTTTCTTTAGTTTATCGAATAATTGATGTCTAATATATCAAAAACTAATATTTAATCTGGTCCGAAATGTCCTAAACAATGGTCCGAAATGTCCAACACATGGTCCGAAATGTCCAACACATGGTCCGAAACGTCCAAATATCTGGTCCGAAATGTCCCAAAATCTGGTCCGAAGTGTCCCGAAATCTGGTCCGAAGTGTCTGGTCCGAAACGTCCATGGTCCGAAATGTCCTATTACCTTCAGAAATGCACTCCTCAAGTTTGATAATTTTTCTATAAAATAGCTTAATTACAAGGTTAAATGAAGTTGTTTATGGTCTATGTCAGCAGTAAACATCTTTTTAGTGGCCACTTAATAATAACTTTGGCGGTAAAAATTCTTGTCTTTCTATTTTTTTAGACATTTTGTCATTCTGTATTTTGTTGGCACAGAGATCACATGTTTGAAAATTTAAAAAAAATCCCTCCCAATTAATGTGTTGATATTGTATTATTAATTATATTAATTTATAAATACTTTAATATGAAATTAGGCAAAGCCTATGAATGGGGAAGTCGTTAAAAAAATTATTTTCATTCTTTCCGTTTTAAAGGTGTCATTCGGTATTTAATGCATCGCTTCCTTTTTCACACTGAACACTCGGCGATTATTATTAATCCGAAAAGTTGAGATTTGTTCCGTTATCGGAATACCCCGCCTATTATCATTGAGTAACATTGTAAATGGCGGCGCCCGACTAGAACTGACACTGAAAAATTTCATTGATAGGTATAGAATTCTATAAATTTTTAAATTGTTTTTTATTTGATTTTCTTTTAAATATACACGTGTAGTCTATAGCCGGGCAAGCCAAAGCCCGGACCCGCTTCGCGGGCCCGGTCTTTGACTTCCCCGTATTACTATGCCGGCAAAATCTGATTTTGACTTACACATGTACTTGTCCGTTTTAATGTGAAGCATTTTTTTAACTTGTCCGTATGATATTTACATAGTTAATTCTTGAAAATCTTCATTTGTCCGTACAGGCTGTGGCACAACTTGGGCAATACAAACAATTGATTTTGCTGGCCCTCAGAAACATATTACTCTTGTAGTAATTATTATGCTCACATAATTATGGACAATCAAAATATTTTAATGTGAGTTGAAGGTGACTAAGACTTGATTGTATACTGTATAATGTGTTTCTCATATAATGAATTTGATTATGCCCACATGCGAACAAGCATAAAATTTGATGTGAGAAGTAGATTAAGTGAATATATGTGATTTGTGTTATTGAAAAAAAGAATATGTTTAATTGTGATTCATGTGATTTCTTGTTTACCTTAAATTATATTTTCTTATGACTAACAATTTCCTGTGTTTTTTCTTCTGATTGAAATTATAATTTAAAGAATTTTCAACAACAGAAATATTTAATTCATTAAAATTACTTTCAGATTTATCCACATGTGTATTAAAAACTTTTAAACAAGTCAGAAATAGGTCAGCAAATGATAATCAGCCTGGAATGAATAATGCCCCGCATCCTCTTCGGGCCATTATTCATCTAACTCTGGGGCCAATTACTACCTTGAGGCCCTACTCTGCTGTGTATTAATCATTTAATAAATACAGTCATTTTGTAATTCTATTCCATGAATGGAGGATAAATTAGTTCATCTATTTGAAGTCAGTCATTTCTAAAATTCTATTACATGTAGCTAAAATTTGCAGACAATTTTTGTTGTGATTACACATTTATTGTATTGTGATAATTTTCATGATTTGTATGCAGAATGAGAATATGGCGACAGCAGAAGAAAACTTAAAGTCACAATTTCAACTTCTTCAAGATCAGCAACAAAAGAAGTTGTTAAGACGCAAACAAAGGAAGGAAGAACAACGGGCTAAAACAGCTTCCGTTTTACCATCACATACAAACAATGCATTTGGTGTCTCAGATCAATTAGATTTAAAGGTAAGTTGAAGTAAAAATATAAATAAGGTTTAAAGAGAAATATTTAAAGTTATGGTCCTCCCCAATAAGATGCTCCTTGGCCATTAAGCAGAATTTTCCGTGACCAGGGGATCAGTGAGTTTACACAGACTTATATAGGAAAACACATTTAAATCTTCCTGTATAAATCTACAGACTTGTACTATTGCTTTGTTGACATCAATAAAAGTTATACAAAACTATGTTCTCTACAAGGGGTAACTATTTACATTGACTTGCAGGGCTAGCACTGGCAATTTTTTACTTTGAGCCAATTCTTCGTGGCGAAAATTGCCTGCCTGTATTTTATTTTCAAATCAGGTAATGGTACGGCATGGGATATTTAGAAAAGCATTAACTATTATCCAACTTAATTTTGGCAGCTACATTTTTATTACATTAACAAATCTTACATATACGAATATAATTTGTTTAGGAAATTGACCTCAGAAATCTCAAGGTTTACATAATCGGATTGTTGCATACTAGAAGTGTAGTGGAGCTTTATTGAAGTTTTTGTTGTAAGTTATGCCCCTACCCTGGGGTACACTTGGATTTTCAGCCTAATACCTTCACATTGCACCTTAGGTACCATTTCTTGTATGGTATTTAATTTTGACTTTTGGTCACTGATTATAATAATGACCAAGCAACATATTTTTAAAATCTTTAACTTCCATTTTCTAATTAAAATTAAAACCATCTCTGAACATTTGATTGTGTATAATCAAGCCTTGGCCCTAGATGTGACTCAGTGATTTACTTTTACAATGAAGAAATTAGGACATTTTCTAGCTGTTGATTCCAGGTGAGCGATCTTTGGCTATCCTGAATCTCTTGTTTTCTTTTATTTCAGCTAGCTGCTCCATCACAGAACCAAAGTTATGTGTCTGAAGAACTTGTAGACCATCTCAATGAACAGATAAGGGTATGTTTAGGATTCTTATCATTGTTTTATTATTATTTTGTAGGAACTGCATTTCTTTAATCTGTGATTCCAGGCTTCCTTGCTTTAATACAACATCTTAATGTAAAAGTCGATGTAAGTCTTTTCTTATTATCCTGTCCTGCCAAGAACAGAGGAACGATTTAAAGCTACCCTGAAATGTCAGATATATAATATGTTAAGAAATGATCTTTCACTAAAGTGAATATGTCTATTACCTACTCACAAAGATTTTTTTTTTGAAAGCCTGATAATGAGTTGCCTTAATTTACAACTTAAAAAATTTCCATTTGGATGGACCCAAGCCCTGTCCCAATGCTGTGAATAGGGAGATTGACACTTACACTTGATAAATGATTGACATTTTTTTATTGCAGGAATTGAAGGATGAGAATGGGAGAGTTTACAAGTTGCTTAGTGAGAGAGATTTTGAGCTCCGTAATCTTAAGAAGAAAAGAGAGGAGGAAAAAGTTGCACTAGCAGGTAAATTATTGTTCCTTACTCATTTTATCTTTAAGTTAATTATTTTGTGAATGCCTACAACTGATATATTTTTTCTAAGATCATGCAAAGTTTAATTAAATTCTATTATACAGTTTTCATTCTGCCTATATGACTATATTGTAACTGTAATTGTAGCATATGCCTTAAATTTTAAACCTATTACACTGCTGATCTTGTTTAATGGACTTGGCTCATTCTGAATTTGGATCGGTCCAATGTTAGATTATGGGATTACAGCATTAAAATATTAATATTGAAATGTGAATAGAATAGATTTCGGTCACATTGCTTGGACATGCAGGCTGGCCTAGATCTATACTGTTTAGCTGTATTTTGTGTATGTTGCTTATACAATCTAATCTTTTTAAGAATGAATGTAACAGATTCTAAAGCAATAATAGGGAGTTTTCTCATGTCAGTAACATTTTGCACATTCAAGTCTAAATTGTCAGTGAACAGGTACAAATCAAATCAAAATAATAGTACATTTGGCACATTAAATGTGTTCAATTTTATAAAATGTGATGCAGTTATATATTGTTGTTGTTGTTTTTGGTCAGTTTCTTTTTTGACAACAAATTGCAAATCTAGTGCCATCAACTTTACTCTCACCCAACATTTTCTTGTCCATCTGCAACAAGTGAACTTACCAAAGTTATTTTCTTTTAGCTACTGGTGGCCCTGTGACAAATGAAACGGCTGGCACAAAAATTGTGGAACTGTCAAAGAAAGTACGGGAAATGACTGCCGAGTTAGAATCTGAGAAAAATAAAAGTCGGCAACTTGCCAGAAAATGCCAAGATTTACAGCAACAGGTTTTGTTTTCATTTTTTTAATTTGCATGAATAGTTATTAAATGAATATTTGAAAATACATAAAATGCATTGTGTGTAGTTCAAATAATCCTAATTTTGAAGAATTGCTTATAATGCTTATAAGGTTTTACATATTTTTAAATAGTGTATATTACTGTCTCATATTTGTATTTAGCCTATCATTTAAATTGATAAATATTAACTTGTTACTTTTTTTATTAGTATAATTTTAAAAAGCCCACCTGACTATATCAGATATAAAGTACTGTATGTGTAGAAATATTTAAGGGCTTCAAATTTTCGCGATCTTCGTGGTGACATTCGTTCTGCGAATTCATGTTTAGCGCGAACATTTCTACACCGATAGTTTCTTAATTGTCATATTTTCGCGCTTCTATAGAACAGTGTATGTATATCAGTATGTTATATGCTTTCAATACATACGATTTTATTAAAATGTTTACCGAGTAATTGTGTTTTGTTTTCAAAGTTTTTCATCAGTTGAAATTGTTTATGTTTGTGTTGTTTGTATTGTTTGTTTAGAAAAAAAAAACATGATCTGATCAGATGTCAAGACGTTTATGACGCAAACTGTGAAAAATCATGCATGTTAACGGTCATTCCTTGTTTGCAATAATGTGTTTGTTAGACAATGTCTTTATTCTTTAAAATAGTGTATTATTTGACACTAGGTATTGAAAACAAATGTGAACTCCAAAGATTATTACAGTAATATTTTTTTTTAACCTGAGTGGTGCTCTACGCGAATTTATGATTTTCGGCAGTCACCTCCGCGAATTCAAAATAGCGCAAATATTGGTCCCAGTACTGGTAAGTTCCAGGAAGTGGACTTGAAAGTGTTAAATATGTGTTGGAAGAACTTGTTTTGCAATCTAGCTTCATTAGATATGCTTAAACAAAGGGAACTTGTGTAATGTAAACTTATTCATATTCTGTAAGTTAGAATAAAGATGATAGTTTTACTATTGCAGGTTGCAGGGATGAATTCTGACAATAAATCAATCAGAGCTTCAACTATCAGCCTAAGATCCAGCATAGATGAAAAGGTACATGTTTTATTCAGAATAATGGTTAATACAATAAACATTACTAACTAGCATTATGTTATGTCTGTTGTCAATCAAATTCTATACTGTCATCTGCTCAATTTATAATTTTGATATTGAAATCCTTTAACCCTTGACTTGGAACCAAAAAAGATTAGCCTTTGCCACCAGAACCAGGCCAGCCAGCCTGTGTTAAAAACATTTCAAAACTTCTTCATTTTTAGGGCATTTTGCACAGTTATAATGATCATTCTGGATAAAGGAATGAGTGAAAGATCAGAAATTTTCCACACAAGTCAAGTTTATGGTATCAACCTACATCAAATTTTCTGAAAATAATATCCAGTCCCATCATATCAAAAGCATCAATGCAGTCCCTTTAATGTCAGATCCTTGTTTTTTTTTCTTTTGCAGCCAGATGATCCAAATGAAATCAAAGTTTTACAGGATAAATTAAAACAAATGGAGTCAAAGATGATAGATTATAGAAACAGTAATTCAACGCTCAAACAGGAACTTAGAATTGCTCATAAGGTATGTAAAACTATCATGAAGATTGCTGGTTGAATAGTATGTATTGTGTCAGTGAATAATTGATGTTGTATTATCCAGTCAAAGTGGTCTTTTCCTAAAGATTTCATGACAACATTGGTATGCCACTTAGTTTTTAACCAGGTTTTCCGAAGGAAAAAACTGGTTATTAGATTGAGGTATGTCGGCAAAAGGTTTTCCGAAGGAAAAAACTGGTTATTAGATTGAGGTATGTCGGCGGGCGGGCGGACGGACGGGCGGGTGGGCGTAAACAATTTCTTCTGTGCGCAACTCCTCCTACATTTCTCAACAGATTTTGACCAAACTTTCACAGAAGCTTTGTCATCAAGTGCCCTGGCGCATATTGTCGGGGTTTTGCGATTAGATAATACTTGACCTAATTATGGCCCTTTGTTTTTTTTCATTATATAGAATATATAGTGAACAATTTCTTCTGTGCGCAACTCCTCCTACATTTCTCAACGGATTTTGACCAAACTTTCACAGAAGCTTTGTCATCAAGTGCCCTGACACATATTGTCAGGGTTTTGCAATTGGTATATATTTGACCTAATTATGGTCCTTTGTTTTTTTTTTTCATTATATAGAATATAAAGTGAACAATTTTCTTCTGTGCGCAACTCCTCCTACATTTCTCAACAGATTTTGACCAACTTTCACAGAAGCTTTGTCATCAAGTGCCCTGGCGCATATTGTCGGGGTTTTGCGATTAGATAATATTTGACCTAATTATGGCCCTTTGTTTTTTTTTCCTTATATAGAATATATAGTGAACAATTTCTACAGTGCGCAACTTCTCCTACATTTCTCAACGGATTTTGACCAAACTTTCACAGAAGCTTTGTCATCAAGTGCCCTGGCGCATATTGTCAGGGTTTTGTGATTGGATAATATTTGACCTTATTATGGCCCTTTGTTTTTTTTCCTTATACAGAATTGAACAAATTCTTCTGTGCTGAACTCTTCCTACATTTCTCAACGGATTTTGTTCAAACTTTCACAGAAGCTTTGTCATCAAGTGCCCTAGCACATATTGTCGGGGTTTTGTGATTGGATAATTTTTTACCTAATTATGGCCCTTTTTTTTTTTTTTCCTTATACAGAATATATATAGTGAACACTTCTTCTGTGCGCAATTCCTCCTACATTATTCATGTTTTACATTGCACATAGTTACATTGTTTGTTGCTTGTATTTGTATTTCAAATACAACATATTTATCTACAATGGTGATAATTGAAAACCTTGTTTCATGGCATTGCCATGTTTCTTGTTACCAGTTTATTTTAGTTTGATAGTGTTGGAAGCCAGAAGCTTATTGAAACACTCTCAAATCTGTTCCTTGAATGGACCAGGACTAAGCAGTATGTGTAGTTTCTTGCTCACGGAAACAACTTCTGTGCCACTTTGTGTTAGTTGAATTTTATTTCTTATTTAAATTTTAGTTAGTTTTAAACACCCAGCAATGAATTGGTAAAAAGAAATAAAAAAAAAAAGGTTGACATGACCAAATGGTTAAGGGTGCTGACTTCAAATTACCTTATCCTTTCTACTTCTTTGAGTTTCAGTTTTGCCATGACCTTTCTTTCAGTCATGTGAGAAAGCTATCCAGTTCATTTAACACTTACCACACTAAATATGTTAAATGGACTTGCCCATCTTTTAGTCTGGACAAAACCATTTATCATTTTTTAGGGAAAATTTCAAAATAACTACTGACTGAATAGCCAACAGTGCAAATCATGGTCAGATGGTTGGCTGTTGAAACAGAAGGAAGGTAGAGGGGTCTAAAGCACAACTCCCCTTTTGGCTTTTATAGAAACAAAATTGTTTTTTTGCAGGCGTTATCTCAGGAAGTTGGAGACAATGTTAACATACAATCTTGCCTTAGTGCTAACAGTAACTGGAGAGGAAGGGCACAACAAATTTTACAGCTGCAATTAAAGGTATTGCCATGTGTAAAAAATATTCTGAAATCTGAGTCATTTTTAAAGATACTTAATGTTTCTAAGTTTTTTTTTTGTTGTTTTTAAGCTAAATTACTTTAAACCAAACAAAAATTTCTGCAATCCATTTTAGAAATATCCCCAAAAAAGTCATTTTCAAAATTAAGCTATCACTGGAAGGATTTTGGAAATGTAGGATTCATATATCTATTGTTCGCATGAAGAAATATTAGCAAATTGTGGAAGGGTAGAATTTAATGACCAGTTGGTTGATATTTGAGGTAGAGGAAATATGGGCGATTTTTATCAATTTGCTAAATTTGCCAATATTTCAGCATCACTAACTTGACCACTAATACAGTAAGCTAACAAGTTTTGTCACAATCAAGTTGAAATATAAGTTGATCATTATAAAACTTATCCATCTTTCAGTCTGGACATATCAATTATTCATTTTTAGGGAAGATTTCCAAATTATGTACTAACTCATTAGGAAATAGTACAGACCATGGTCAGATAAGGTGATCTTGGCCTGCACTCCTCACAAAGGTAGAATCTGTTGTGGACAGCAGGGTAATGGTTAAAGGCTACGAATGCTATTGCTGTCATGAATACAGGTATACATGAACCTTACCCAGCTGAAGCCTTTGCCACCAGTATAGAGCTAGGCCAGCCTGCACATCCATGTAGTCTGACCAGGTTCTATACTGTTGGCTGACTTATACTGTTTGCTGACTAACTTCAAATTTTCATCTTCATATCACTAAAATTGATAATGAACAGTTAAAAAAATGGAAGTCAGACAAGTCCATTTGAAGAAATTCATAATGTTATGGGATGTTTTCATGTATGTAAAGCTTATATAATAACGAGCTTCAGCTTTATATATGCATGTATCTTTAAGCTATGTACATGTATTTTTTTAGAATGACGAACTGAAACAGGAAGTTCAGAAATTAAAAGGTGCTACGGAAGCATATGACCTTGAAGCTGAAATGCTAGGTAATAAGAAGAAGTCAGCTGTTGACAGGCACAAAGATCAGCTGAAAAAACTGGAAAAGGAGAAGAAAGATGCTCAGGGTGTATGTAGAATTAATTGTTTACCACTAGGTACTTGCTCCTTGGGTCCATTCAAAAAGATGCCACCATAGCCAAATGGTTAAAGTTGATGACTGATCTCAGTCTTTTAGATCTTTGATGATATCTAAATGATATGTTCCAGTGGCATCTGTGGCCGAGTGGTTAAGGCTGTTCAAATCTTATTCCCCATAACAGATGTTGGTTCATATCCCATCAGGGACTTTGAATTTTTTCATGTGAGGAAGCTATTCAGTTAGCTTACTGAATGTTGATGGTTCTACCCAGATGCCCACTCTTGCCTGAAAATAATGCACAAAGGGACACTCAGGTGTTCTTCTTCCAGCAGTAAAGTTGCCCCTAAAACAATCTAGTTTTCAGAAGGTAATTGTTTCTACTCAGATGCCAGTTAATGCTTAAACATTGCCCAGAAGAACAACTGAGGTTTTCTTTTTCTAGGTAAACTTGATAGTGGATATATTACCTTGATAATATTGATGTTATTAAAAACCCAACTATAAACTATCATGTTGACAATCCTGAATAATTCAATATAAGGGTATCCTTACATAAGGTCAAAATTAATGTTTTCCCGAGGTGTAGGTTGTTGCTTAGTGACTGTTTTAGTCCATAGTAACATCTCACTCTTGGGGCATCCGTGGCCAAGTGGTTAAGGTCATTGACTTCAAACAACTTGCCTCTCACCACTGTAGGTTTTAGCCACGCAAGCGTTGTCGGATTGTACATGTGGGAAAGCTATCCAGCTAGCTTAATGAAGTTATGGAATGTTGGTGGTTCTACTCATGTGCCAGTTCATGCCTGAAATAATGCACAGATGGGCATATGAGGTCTTCTTCCACCAGTAAAACTGGATAAATGCACAAGGAACATATGAGGTCTTCTTCCACCAGTAAAACTGAAAAATTGCCATAAGACCTTTACTGTGTTGGTGCGAGATAAAACCCAAAGGAAACTAGAACTGTGTCCAAGGACATGGATGCCCCCACTGTGCAGATGTGCTCGTAAACAAGAGCATGCATATCTGTATGTAAGATTTTTATGTGGAACTTTTTATTATGCCCCCGCCATTACATGGCGGGGCATATATACATGGCGGGGGCATATAGTGTTACCCTGTTCCGTCATTCCGTCCTTCCGTCATTCTGTCATTCCGTCATCATCAGTTTCCGTTAATTATCTTAAGAACGGTTGCACACATTCAACTCAAATTTGACATATGGATATGTCATGAGAAAATACAGGTCAAGTTCGAATTTGGTCATGGTTCGATGATTTTTGGCAGAGTTATGCCCCTTTTACTTTGAAAATAATATGAAATTTCAGTTTCCGTTCATTATCTCCCCAACGATACAACACACTCAACTCAAACTTGACATATGGATATGTCATGAGAAAATACAGGTCAAGTTCGAATTTGGTCATGGTTCGATGATTTTTGGCAGAGTTATGCCCCTTTTACTTTGAAAATAATATGAAATTTTCAGTTTCCGTTCATTATCTCCCAAAAGGTACAACACATTCAACTCAAACTTGACATATGGATATGTCATGAAAAAAATACAGGTCAAGTTTGAATTTGGTCATGGTTCGATGATTTTTGGCAGAGTTATGCCCCTTTTACTTTGAAAACAATATGAAATTTTCAGTTTCCGTTCATTATCTCCCCAAAGGTACAACACATTCAACTCAAATTTGACATATGGATGCGTCAAAGGAATGCGCAGGTCAAGTTCAAATTTGGTTATGGTTCACTGATTTTTGGCAGAGTTCTGCCTCTTTCACTTTGAAAGTAATATAAAATTTTCAGTTTCCGTTTATTATCTCCCCAATGGTACAACACATTCAACTCAAATTTGACATATGGATATGTTTTTGGAATGCCCAGGCCAAGTTCGAATTTGGTCATGGTTCAATGATTTTTGGCAGAGTAATGCTCCTTTCACTTTGAAAATAATATGAAATTTACAGTTTCTGTTCATTATCTACCCAACAGTGTTACATATTCAACTTAAATTTGACATATGGATATGTCAAAGGAATGGGCAGGTCAAGTTGGAATTTGGTCATGGTTTGATGATTTTTTTGGCAGAGTTATGTCCCCTTCACTTTGAAAATTAAATAATATAGATACATCTTAGGAATAAGCAATTTAAGTTTGAATTTGGTCGTGGTTCAATGATTTGAGACAAACTTATCTTTCCTGAATGATGGAAAAATTTTGAACTTACAGTTTCAGCACTCATACTTTTAGCCATTATTTTGGCTACAAATATGCAATATGTTATTTTTAAAAGGTTAAGACTGAATAATTTCAGTGCCTTGAACATTGTATAAAAATGGTTTGTGTTAACATTGAAAAGTTTTAAGGGCTTTGAACTTAAAATGAAAAAAATAATTAATGCACCATCTGAAATTTTGGCTGCATGAGGGGGCATCCGTGGCATGATGACACATTTCTAGTTAAAATCTGCCATCCGGTTTAAGAGGAGTTGCGTTCACAAAATTTCTATATGGTATATAGTGAAAAAATCAACAAAGGGCCATAATTCTGTTAAATTTGGTCGCAGCAAAAATTCCTTCCTTTCCTTCCATCAACACATTAAGGTTGTTCATCCCTGGAAGTTTAAGCAAAATCTGCCATCCGGTTTAAGAGGAGTTGCGTTCACAAAATTTCTATATGGTATATAGTGAAAAAATCAACAAAGGGCCATAATTCTGTTAAATTTGGTCGCAGGGAAAATTCCTTCATTTACTACCATCTACACATTAAGGTTGTTCATCCCTGGAAGTTCAAGCGAAATCTGCCATCCGGTTTAAGAGGAGTTGCGTTCACAAGATTTTGGGAGGGACGGACGGACAAGTGCAATGCTATATGCTCCCCACTTTGTGCCTAATCTGCCAGTTAAAATTTAAATAACAGTAGCCAATTTATGTTAATATTGTTATGTGTCTTTAAAAGCAAGCAATTGTTAGGTCATTCTCATAGAAAAATTAATGAGATTTTTTATTTAATGATATCATGGAAACAGCAAATGTTGATCTTTATTATTGTTTAGTGTAGATATGTGATGCATTTTGTTATATTTGGTGAAGAAATAATCTTATAAGGCTTTACCCTTTAAAGAAATAGCTTGTTCTTAACCTGTATTTTATTTTCTGATATTAGTATCTGATATTATATATATTTTGTCGGCAAAGTGAAATACAATATTTAACATTGTTCTTTTGTTATTTTTCAAGAAAATGGCAGCTGAAAAAGAAGCTTTAGAAGAGGAAAATTTTGCATTAAAACATAAATTGGATGTTTCAAAAACTAGGTGAGTGTAAAAAAGATAAATTATTATGCTGTCAACATTTAAAATACTTACTTCATTAGAATCAATAGTAGCATTTGCCTCCAGTATAGAACCAGGCCAGTTTGCTCTGTTGTGCAGTCTGACTGTTGATTGACAGTCTGCAGGCTGTTGATTGACAAACATTAAATTTTCATCCTAGTATCCCCAAAATTGATAATAGAATATTCCAAAAAAGAAAGCTGGAATAAGTCCATTTAAGAAATGCAGTCAGCTAATGTTTAATTATCATATTTCAACAAAATCTCTTTGATTGTAACGTCTGAGGAATGTATTTCATCAAAACTCTCATTTGCATTTCTTGTAGAGTATGAGAGAAAGCAAATATTTTAAAATGGTTAGGGTAAAAAAACAAACCCACCTACAAAATATATGAATATACAGATCTTTCATTGGTCTCATTTCTGTCAAAGCTAGATAATAAAACTTTCAGCTGTACAACTTTGGTTTATTGTTTGCATTAATCAGTATTTAATGCTGCATTTGTTATAGTAGTTAAATGAATTCACAAAAATATCAAATTAGTCTCAAAGTTGTCCCCCAGCCTTTGTTTTACATATCAAATCCTCTACATATTGAGCATATTGGATGAAAATATTTTGTGAATTTTAAGTGCTTGCAGTTGTGTTTAATTACTATATTTTGAAAAAAGAATTTCAACTATTTAGAACAGTCTCAGTTTACATAAGAATAGCATGAGGTGTTCTACATTAGTATATTGGCATATTTTCTTGTTTTTCAGGAACCAGGTGCTAAGCAATGAAATAAAAAACCTGAAGAAACAAGTGCCTGAATTATTAAAGAAAAATGAACATGATAATGAACTTATAGAGGCTTTAATGGTAAGCTTTTACTTGAGAGGTTTTTGTTATTATCTTTAATCTTTGCCTGTTGGCAGCAAGAGATTCTACCCATGTGATCAGTGCAGACCAAGATTAGTCGTTATGTCCATGATGTCAGATCATATGGTCTGCACTGTTCTCTATTCAGTCATTTTATATTTAGAAATTTTTCCTTAAAATTTATGTTTTTGTTGAGATTGAAAAATTGATTTTGCCTAGATTGAAAGATGGACAAGTCCATTTCAGTTATTTAACAAGGTAAGGGTTTAAGAGCTGCGCCACAAGTTTAGAGTAAGATCAGCGCCACCATACAGTATACTGTTTGGCTGCCTACTTTGATATTGATACTTCAAGTATTCCTGATGAACTTTTGAGATTCATATCAGGACATGTTCATTACAAAACTTATGCAGGGACTGGGTTAATATTGTATTAGAATTACTCTGAAGTCAGTAATGGGGTTACCTAGAACTTAAGGGTTTGATAGTTCTATTTAAGTTGTAGCATGTTTTTCTGTGTCAATTTTCATAAGGTCATTAGTTATGCTGAGGTGCCTTGCACCTGTTTATGCTTATGCACATAAGGCCATTTTAGTTGTCATATGAACTTAACAGTAATATTGTAACTTAAACAAATGAAATTAGTTAAGAAGTATGATTGTGCTTCTGCCAATGCACTGAGATATATTAAGTCTTGCACATACATGTGAACTTTTTTCTATGATCAAGTTGGAGATTTTTCTTCAAAAAGAGGGAGATTTTAGAATTTACAATAAACAAAGAAGTAACATCTGATGTCAAAAATAGGTAGATTTCTTTAATTTGTGAAAATGCACCTAACTTTAAGAAAAATCTTTGAAAATATGGCTGCAGAAAGTGGGAGTCTCCCGCTTAAAGTGGGAGAGTTCACATGAATGCTTGCATAAAAGTTTGCAGTTACATACAGAGGAGCAGGTTAATATTGGTTTAGAATTCAAGATTTGTAAGTAAATACCACTTTTGTTTATAGGTGAAATAAATTTGACCAAAGGTTTTTACAAACTTGTAATTTCATCTCAATTAACAAAATAGATTAACTAAAACACCACAAAGATTTGAATGAAGATTAACTTAAACACCACAACGATTTGAATGAAGATTAACTAAAACACCACAAAGATTTGAATGCTTGATGTGTTTTATTTTCAACAGAAAGAACAAACAAATATAAGACAACAGTTGGACGAAGCTAGGAAAAATCAGCATAATATAAAAATTGAACAACAACATAAACTCAACGAGATGAATGCAAAAGAACAGCATGAGAAAAATGTGGTGGAACAACTTAAAACTATTGTGGCTGACAAGGAAACAAAAGTTAAAGTTCTTGAAAATGAGATTCAACAGTTGAAACTTGCAGTAAGTGATTTTTTTGCGAGTAAATAAAGCAAAATAAGTGAATTAGATAAAGGCCAATATTTATATATTTATGTATCTTCTTTGCTGGACTATTTCATGTATTTGCAGAATAGGGATAGCTTTTGCACTTACCCTGGCATGGAGATCACTCTCTTACTTTTTAAAGGGGAGATCACTGTCACACTTTGTTTAAGTTTTTGCATCAAAAACTACTGAAGGGAATAGGATGAACTTCATACACTTATTTGAGAGCATTATAGGAGGTCACTATCCAAGGCCAATAACTCTAACTTGGATTTTATCATAATTATGGTCTTTTTATAACTTAGAAAATTCTACATTATCCAGGCTCCTGTTTTACTATCAAGCACTGAGAATACCTGAGCATGCTGTCCTCCCAGATCTTGTTTCAGTGTATTGTTTTTATTGTAAGAAAATATGTAGGCTTTCTATATGACTTTGTCTCCCTTCACTAGTTAAGTTTTAAAGTCACCAGTTACTGTTAAGTTTAAATTATTAGCTCACCTGAGCATATGCTCAGGGTGAGCTATTAGGATCACTCTTCGTCCATCGTCTGTCGTCCGATGTCCGTGGTCCGTTGTCCGTTCACACTTTTAAAACAACATCTCCTCTGAAACCATAAGGCAGATCATAATGAAACTTCACAGGGATGTTCCTTGTGTGAAGCCTTAACAAAGTTGTTCAAAGAATTCCATTCCATGCAGAACTGTTCTTTTAAAAAGCCCTAAGAGCTAGAGCTTAGATATTTGGCATGAAACATCTTCTAGTGAGTGTCTACCAAGTTTGTTAAAAAAACAGCCCTGGGGTCAAAATTGGCCCCGCTCCAGGGGGTCATTGATTTTCCCTATATGCATATAGTAAAAACTTAAAAAATCTTCTTTTAAAGAACCCAAAGAGCTAGAGCTTAGATATTTAGCATGAAACATCTTCTAATGAGTGTCTACCAAGTTTGTTCAAATAAAAGCCCTGGGGTCAAAATTGGCCCCGCCCCAGGGGATCATGATTTTCCCCATATGCATATTGTAAAAACTTAAAAAATCTTCTTTTAAAGAACCCAAAGAGCTAGAGCTTAGATATTTAGCATGAAACATCTTCTAATGGGTGTCTTCAAAGTTTGTTCAAATAAAAGCCCTGGGGTTTAAACTGGCCCCAATCCGGGGGCCTATATACAGGTGAGCGACCTCAGGACCTTCATGGCCCTCTTGTTTACCTCTTGCTACCTTGGGTTCAAATGTTGCTGAGAGCATTGAGTATATTTACACAAGAAAGCTATCCAAGTTTTTAGAGTATTAGGTGTTACACCCATTTGCCTACTCAGCCATGAAATTAGTAATAAATATAACAGTTAACCTAGTATGTCACCTCATGACCTTAAATGTGTAGATATGACTTTAAAACCTAACTAAGTGATATATTACTTACAGCATTTACAGAGAGCTCAGATGAATAAATTGTTTGAACCATCAGGCAACCAGTCACAGGCTAATGGGCAAACACCGATACCAGTCCAGAATGTCACCGTGGACAGTCGACCGTCTACTGGGTTTGAAACAGTAGATCTGCAATACCAAATAGGTACAGAAACTCCACCACCGGACTCCAGGTACAATACAAATAATTTTTCATTAAGATTTAATTTTTCATCAAGATTTAATTTTTCAAGGTTGTTATTTTACTATCAAGCACTGAGAAATGTTGAACATGCTGTTGTTGACAGCTCTTGTTTAATTGTCTAATTATAGAATAAACCATACTTTGACCTGACTGGTTGTCTTTATGTTTCAATACTGTATATATTTAAAGAGGAGTAAACACATTTAAACTGGAGTCATCACCACTATGAATAAATAGAAAATGATTTACTGTTATAGTATCAAACAATTTTACTTTTAGGATGTCAGATGTACCAAACATTCCGTTGCCTGAAAATAATGCTCTTCCATCTAGAGGTCCTGTTGTAGAATTTGCTAAACCACCATCAAGGGCTCTGTCTAGGAGTCATTCCAGAAGTAACAGACCATCATCTGGAAACAGACCTCCTTCAGGGACCAGACCCTCGTCAGCCAGGTATCAGAGTTTGCCAGTTTCTCTACTTGTAATAGGGTTTGTAAGCGAACAGCATGGGTCCTGATCAGACTGTGTGGATGCGCAGGCTGGTCTGGATCAATGCTGGTCGCAAACGCACTATTTTGGTTTTGTCATGGCGCAGTTTATTATAACAAATCTTTAATTAATACAGGTTTATTGTGACTAGATTTTAAGATGTTTTCAAATTGGCGCCAATAAAAGAATGAAGGTGGTATAATATGAAACCTCGCAAATATAAGATCATATCTGCAGGTACGGCTATTAGTGTAGGAAAATATTGTATTGATACATTAAAAGCCGAATATCGACGGTATATCGATAAATCAAAATAAACAACTGAGGGGGTGGAAACCAATTAAAATGTGTTTTATCATGGTGTTATGCATGCTTGCTTTAAAAATACAAGATACTAAAAGAAAGAATATTTTCTTGTTATTAGATATCACTGATATGTGAAAATTAGATTAAGGGTTCAAGCTAAAGAAGATAAAATGAGAGAAGTGGCCTGCTATCTGACAAAATAAAGAAACATATTCACAAAACAGAAAGAAATGGGTTTTAAAGCAGAATGCCTCAAGATTCATGCTAATTTTCATGAAAAAGATTGTACTAAGTGTAAAATATTGTGTAGTGAACAAAGAAAGTAATTTACGCTTGCAATCAAAGAACGCACATAACATGTAAATCATTACTTGAATCTTTTCTTTATTTTTCTTAAAATCTTATTACATTTATATCAAGTGTGATTTTCTTGAAATATTTTGGCTCGTCTGAAGGCATGTAGCTTTAAATTGTATAGATATTCAGAATGTCTGATTCAGTGTTGAATCGAATATATTATATAGGAGATATATCAATATCTTGGTGTTGAATGACAGCCCTATTACCAGGGTACAATTTTATACAAGGGAAGTAATATGACCTGCCTTCAGTTTATTTGTTAACATAGTTATCCCTCTTTTACTTTAAATTCTTGGTTCACATGGAATGTTATTATTATCATCATCATTATTATGGCTATTGTTATTATTATTATTACTGTCATCATTATTTTTGTAGCTGTTATTGTTTTAGTCATTATTGATATTATAACTATTATAATTATTATTATTATAATTAATATTATTATTCTATATTATTATCATTATTCAGTAAAACAGTTGACAATGAGATGTTGGGACAGTTACAGTATCAATGTCAGGAGTACCGTACTGTGGCCCAGGTTGCTGAAGTGGAGAGAGACAAACTGACAGAACTAACCAAGATGCTTCAGTCAAGGTAATCCTGCTATTTTCACTCAATATAAGCAAAGAAAAGTTGACCCTGTTTTAACAAAAACATAAGGCAACGTTATATCATACATGTATAACTTTCATAACTTGCATATTTATATAACCACTTCTTGGTGTTTTACAGATTAGATGATTCTGCTCATAAATTACAAGAAAATCAAAAAGAACTTCTGGATCAACGAAGAAGAAATGCACTGCTTGAAAAACAAGTGGCAAAGGCTAACCTAACAACAGCAAGATCTGGTATGAGTGTTTAATATTTTATTGTATATTTTTTTAATCCCCAAGATTTTTCAGTGGAACATATAGATGCTGATTTGTTTTCCTTTCCTTCTATTACTCAAACTTATTGGTTTCCATAGTACCCTCATTTTTTATCAGATATCTTAAGATGTTCAGTAAGTTGTTATCTACCATTGAGGTTGGATTTTAAGTCAATTGAATGAAGGTCAAGGTCACTGAGGCTAAAAATAGTACTTTATTTTAAGTCAATTGAATGAAGGTCAAGGTCACTGAGGCTAAAAATAGTACCTTTTGTATTTTTCATAGTAAGACAATGTTCTCATTTTTCTCAAGGTGAAAAGGGGGCGCATCAATCAGTTTATATGATTTTCATTTTCTAGAAAAAAAATTTTTTTTTAGTATTCATAACACAGATGCGATAAGAAATTTAGCATTACAGGAATTGTTATTACTGTTAACTTCCTTTTATCTGAACTTGGTTTTGCATTTTATCATGTAATGAACATGTTAACTTTAAACTTATCATACTTCAGTAGTAGTTTAGGAACATCTATATTTTGCATACTGTTGGTGTTATAGCTGGAGGAATGTCTGCCAGGAAGAAGTCCGGACTTACAGCCAGTGTCTCGAACTTGCCCACAATGCCAGAGGACGAAGATGTACGCAATATGTCAGTAGAAGAACTAGTTGTCAGGTATGTTCTAAAAACGCAAGGGCCACAAATCTACCTTCTTAAGTAAGATAATACTCCTTTCTGTTTGATAAGAAATGGACCTTTCCGGTGTTTACAATTTCATGTAAATTGGCTAACTTGTTATCCAGTTGCTACACTGAGATTATACATAGTCACTGGTTGACCTGGTTTGCACAAAAGAACACATGGTTATGTTTGTGATACTGTTTGTGAGCAGTTGACCTAGCAATGAAAGGAAAAGGTGTGGCTAAATGTTCCGCTACAAAAAAACTGGAAAGGTCCATATTGCTAAGTTTTGATGATTTATGTTTTCAGAGCAATTTTCTTTAAAACTTAGCCTGCTGGCAGGGACAGATTCTACCTATGCGACCAGTGCAGACCAAGATCAGCTGGCACATCTGTGCTGTCTGATCCATGGTCTGCACTGTTTGCTATTCTAGTCAGTAAATATTTTGAAACTTTGCATAAAGATGAAGAATGATTTTGTCCAGATTGAAAAATGAGCAAGTTAATTTTAGATATTAAGGGTGGTAAGGGTTTAAACTTAGTATCAATCAATGTTTCTATTTATTAGAGTTATTGCCCTTGTTTTGTATTTAATATTGCTAAACCCTATAAGTGCTTAATTACAGTGACAATATACCACTAGTTAAGAGCCAGGCCAGCCTGAATTTACATTCAGTGTGACCAGGCTCTATATTGTTGGTTACACATTTTAGTAGTTTTATTTTGAAATCCTTTCAACTGTTAATGGACTGTTCTAAATTCAAAGAAGGGCAAGTCCATTACACAAATTCTGCAATTCAGCAGGGTAAAGATATATAATGCTGAAATATGACTTATTGAATGCACGAAAATGCCATTAAACCTCATATCTGATAAATTTTTTACATACCTCTACACCATTGGTGTTTTTTGTTGTTGTTTTTTTAATTTTATATTTGAGATATAAAATTCTGAAATACATGTACTGTACATGTAATTGCTTTGTCCATTTTAAATCTTCATTTTTGCAATTTCTTTTAAGCTTCTTGTTTTTAGAAAACTTTTAATATTTTACAAATCTCTTTTCTCTCCTATTTTAGTTTGGAAATTCAACGAGATGAAAACGAGGCTTTAAAGGCAGCATTGCAAACAACTTTAAAATCTAAAGAAGAAGATATGAGAATATATAGTGACACTATAGAAGAAACGAAAAAAGTGTTCTTACAGGCTTTAAGACAATATAAACAGACTGTTCATGGGACGTAGCAAACGTTCAAATTTTATGTCTATATCAAATGTATTTATTTATAGTAACATGAAGAGAAACGTATATGAATATTCATTGAATAATGTCTATATCAAATGTGTTTATTTATAGTAACACGAAGAGAAACATATATGAATATTCATTGAATAATGTCTATATCAAATGTATTTATTTATAGTAACATAAATAGGAACATATATGAATATTCATTGAATAATGTCTATATCAAATGTTTTTATTTATAGTAACATGAAGAGAAAGAAACATACATGAATGTTCATTGAATAATGTCTATATCAAATGTGTTTATTTATAGTAACACGAAGAGAAACATATATGAATATTCATTGAATAATGTCTATATCAAATGTATTTATTTATAGTAACATAAATAGGAACATATATGAATATTCATTGGATAATGTCTATATCAAATGTTTTTATTTATAGTAACATGAAGAGAAACATACATGAATGTTCATTGAATAATGTCAATATCAAATATGTTTATTTATAATAACATGAAGTGAGATATATATGAATATTCATTTAATAATGTCTATATCAAATGTATTTATTTATAGTAACATGAAGAGAAACATATATGAATATTCATTAAATAAAGTCTATATCAAATGTATTTATGTATAGTAACATAAATAGAAATAAAAAGAAATATTCATTGAATGAGTAAAAAAAATTTTATAGGTTGTCTGGCAAAAAAATTATTTTCGATTTTTGTAGGCGATTTATTTTGAAATAATAATTTATTTCTGAACATTACTACTCATATTCTAGTCAGAACTCATATCCTTCCAAGTACGTAAAAATATTTGTATAATTATAGTGATGTTACAGGTTGTACTTTGAAGTATTGCCCGACATCAGTCGCTCACAAAGTTATAAAAAAAGGAGAAAAATAAGAGGTATGATTAACATACGTTTAAATGTGTTAACTGAATGGTCATTGATAATTGGGTATTAATCATCTGATAATACATGTACAATGAGTTCGAGTCAGACACATGTTGGACTGTATAGAAAGAGTCTTTAAACTAGTGGATTTGCGACTGGCCTAGCAAGTTGCAGTCTGTATGGGGATTTAATATTAATATCTGTTATGCATCTACAGTGTTAAAGATTTTTAATAAGTTTTCATATGATGAAAACATACCAAATTTGTGAAAAAATCAAAATGTGCATTTTGTAAAATCAATTTTAAATTTTTGCTGCCTTAAATTAGTTTATTTTAAATATAATGTTACGACTTGTGTCCAAATACACCCTTAAATGAATATGAAGCTGTGTTTAATTGTATTTTTATGATTTTGCTTATATATTGTATTTGCTTTGTATTGTCAATACTCAGTAACACTGAATTATATCTTTACTATATTGAGCTTAGTTCACCATGGCTTAAAAAATCTCCTGAAATATGTTAAGGGCCACCTGGCTTCTTTTGGCAATGTTGTTTTACATTCATTTCCGGCTGCTAATTATGCACTTGCCAATTTTAAAAGCACATTAAGCCAATGTCAGTCATATTATTTTCGTTTTTCAATATAGTCATAGCAATTAAGTATTTATCTCAATGTCAAGATACCACTGTGCTTACATTATGCTACTTTTATGACAATTTTTTTTTCATATGCAGCGCGTCATTTTTGAGTGATAAGCATCTAACATACTTTTAATCAATGGTTGAAACATTATAAAACACATGTTTGACCTTTCTTACTACATGTATTCATTTCTGAGGCTGTGCCTTTAAGAAATAACCCAACCTCTTACAAATGTAATGAAACCCCTGGTCACTGTCTAGAAATCATCATGGTACCAAGCTTTCTTCATCTTTATCAAATTACTTCGTAGTACACATGTGACATGCAGGGTTATATGAGTGTATGGAAACTGTGTTGGTCATCCAAAACTCTATCTATATATATTTAAAAATACATGAATAAATATTTTTCATTTAAAGACAAATAACTTAAACACCTTGTATAAATAGAACTTAAAATATTTGGGTTGAAATATGAAAGTATTTTTAAGACATGAAAGATTGATAATGAGAATCAGTTGAAATTTATGTAGCATATGAGATCATATGGTGCCTTTATCATAAAAGCTGCTAGTTCTGACACTGTTTTGCCAATGTCCGGTGGGTCAGTATGACCGGTGGGCCGGTACATCTGTTCAGCCAGAACAGGCATTGTATTGCCAGTCACTCAGTCCTTGCTATTTGTGTATTGAATTCTTTCCGAACTCATTATGATCAGTTTTGAATTCAAAGAAGGAAATGTTCATTGCACAATTTCATTATGGTGCGGAAAATGACATGTTTAAATTATGAATTTGAGAAGCAATACAATATTTATACACAAATTTTTCAACAAGTCGCAGCAGCAGTAGACCCTCATATGCCATTTATCACATATTCACTCACATCTCTTCAATTCTTTAATAAATATATATTTGTATGGTAACTTGTACTCTGCTGTGGGCAATTGATTCTACCCATAAAGTCAGTGCAGATCTAGTTCAGTCGTCATATCAGTGCTGTCAGATCATCGTCTGTACTGTTCGCTGTTCATTCAGAACATATTTTGAAAATTTCTCTAAAATATTGAATGGTCTTAAAAAGATTAAAAGATGGCTTCATGGATGTGTTGTAAAAATATGCTTTTATTTATTTCTGTTTGTCAAAGACCACTGTGTGGTTGAATATTTTTGAGTTTTGGTGAGTCAGGCATGAATTTATAATAAAAAAAAAATCACAAGTGTGTGTCTTGTCTATTAAAGATATGTGTTCTGGATCAAAGCTATACTTACCTACATGTATAACAGATCTATAAGCTTTATACATGTACATATAAGCTACATGTCTAATTTGAGTTTTTTTGAAATAAATTTTGTTATTATTTTATTAAATTGTTGTGTTTTTTTTACCCAAATTTGAAAGTTTTGTGTCAGTGAATTCCTATTGAACCTCTTTCAGTAGCTCTTGGTTACATTAATCATGGATAAGTGAAACACCCTTAAGCATGTACAGAGAGCTTCAAACTTCATAAGATGTATACCCTTAATGAGTAAAATATCAGTTTTGTCCGTTTATACAAAATTTATTTCCGTTTAATTGTGTAGGAAGCTATAAGCTTATAGACACAATCTTGAATCTGTTTGGACGATGAGAGTAAAGTTTTATGCTCTAGGAAACAACAGCTTGCCCCTGAAGAGGTTTTAACCCACTTGGCTAACGATCCTTGGATTACTAGTTTTGTTCTTGGAGTCAGGGTAACAGTAACCTTGAAATAACAGCTTGAATGGTTCTGATAGATAAATGGAGAAATATATTTGAACAAGCTTGGATATATGTACAGTACCATTTGACATTAAATTTGATTTCTACGACTAAATGTATTTGCGTTTGCAGAATTTAGAAACAGACTTCTTTTGAGAATCTACGCACAATTCAATCTTTGACCCTTATTTAAGATATCTGAATAGAGTGATATTAACAGGTATAAACAGATTATAAAAATATAATGTTCATGTTAACAATATTAGATAGCTGACCAATTGCCATACCCTCGATTTTTTTATGTTCGACATACACCAGCGACGTAGATATAATGCCCCTGAATACGTGTATTTTGTCTCATTCAGAATACTCTAATATTGGTATTTCTCAATGAAAATGATAATTTCAATCTATGTTTATTATATCTGATATATTATACCATATTATGTTTGGAAATTCATTTATCAAAATATGAAAAAAAAATCGGTAGATTTGTGACTAAGGACGGTCATACCTTAAATTTGGGGAGTTTCTTTATGTTCCAGCTAAACTATACATACTAGTAATTCATGTGACGAGAAATCAGTTTGTCTTGAATGTTTTTTCGTATGTAGTGTGTATTATATATTAAGCATCTTTTGAAAAGCTGTTCACCTGAACTTGAATAAATCAAACCCCAACAATAGTCTGTATGGGTTTACTTGTGCGCTACATAAAAGATTTACAAATCATAAAGAAATTTAACATGTTATATCATATTTAAGAAGTTGGAACAGAGCGCTAAAAGTTTACTGTATTTCTTTCCACTACTGCTTTGTAAAATATAGAAAAAAATATATCATAAAAGTAATTATAATAAAACACACGCTTAAACGCAAACCTGCCAGAGTTAAGTGTTAATGCATTAAAAAATATCTCAATATTAAGACACAATTGAAAGTCTTGCATAACACTGGTTTTATCAATGCCGGAAATTTTATCTGGCATGGGGGTGCCAAATGAGTTTCGTGCTATAGTCTATACAATGACATGCTTATATGATGACAACATTTTACCGTTATGAATGAAGTTGTTATTTCATACGCTGTTGTAAGGAAATAGTTAACGGGTGTAATGATATAAATTTCCATAAAAAAAAAATAAAAAAATACAATGGAATATGGTAAAATATGCAAGAAAAAATATCTGACATCGGAATATCCATCCCTCGGGAACGCGCCCATGGGCGGTAATTCGGCAATCCTAGATAGGTACCCTCAGGACGGATATTCTGTTCCGACCGCAACATATGTCAGATATCATAATTCCTATGCATAGAATTTGTCTACGTCGTTGAGTTTCGTCCTTTTGTGTTTGGGACTCCCGTTATGGTACGTTTGCATTTCCCACCGATCGGGCATTCTTATTTGTCATTTTAGCTACTGCACAGTTAGGACACATAGCTATGTATTCTCCGACATATTCCAATAAAATTTTGATTTAATTATTTGCTCTATCCTATCAATTCCTAGCCGGTCTTAACGTTCTTTTTGACGGTTGCACCATTTTTGCTTTCCATCACCTTTCAAAATGTCGACAAAATCCGTCTCCTATCCTGGTGTGTTTGGCGGCAATGAAATGGATATTTGCAAACGAGTCTTCGGTAACACCGTTTTGATGAGATCTTGTTTGTTCGTTGCAGACAGTTTTGGTCGAAATGTCGTTGTATCTGAGCATAAATTACAGAAATTCCAAAGGCGCTGTAAGCTTGTAAACCTTGTTGTCGTTAAATATATATGATTAGCAGAATAAGTGCATCACTCAAAGATTTTGCAGAATAAAAGCATGCAACTTGGATGAGTATCATTAGAAGATTTTAAAAGCC